GATATGGAAAGCAGTTCTGAAATATTAAAGCAGTAAATTTGCTTTTGGGATATCTGTTTTCTCATTTGTGAGTGAAATAAAGGATAGGCCTGTCTCATGGAAGACTGGAGACACAAGCAAATCAATGTATAGTCTTCATATTTCAAACTTTCCCCATTTGGGCTAAAATTCTGGTCTTTGAGGCCTGCTTTGCCTCTTGCCAAATCTGGAGTGTGAACATCAATCCAGCTGAAACTCAAGCAGCCAGAACTCTGTGCTGATGGCCTGGAAGTCAAGCTCTGCACTGGCCCGGTGCCTCCTCACCTAACAGTAGCGCCAGTGCTTCAGGGCGAGCAGAACCAGAACTTCATCTCTGTGTGACACCTCATTTAAACCTGGTGCTCCGGTTCTGTGAAATTTGATGTTCTTTATCCCTCAGAGAGGGATTGAGTGACTCACAAGATCCTGTTATTCACAGAGCCATTTGCAGAGCAAGGCAGATGGCAAATGGGGGCTTGGGGCAAGAGAAAGGATGGCAGAATGAAGGCTGCTCTTGCCACTCTGGATAGCCAAGATTCACCCCAACACACTGAATCCAAACCTCGCAGGAAACCAGCCAGAACTCTTTTACAGAGCATGGAAGGGACGGTTGTGGGTGAACCCTAGGAGATCCCCACCTGCATTTTGTTTTTGTTTTCGTGGGACTAGGGTTTGAACTCAGGGATTCATGATTACAAAGCAGGTGCTCTACCACTTGAGCCACACCTCCAGTCATTTTTACTCTGGTTGTTTTGGACATTGGGTCTCATGAACTATTTCCCTGGGGCTGGCCTTGAACCTTGATCCTCCCGATCTCAGCCTGCCAAGTTAACTAGGATTAAAGGCTTGAGCTGCTGGCACCTGGCTTGCATTTTGTTTTAATCCAGCCCCACACTAGGGCCTATTATTCCACAAACCACAGTGCACAGCACTGTCCCCCTCCTCTCCCACACTGTTGGGCTGGATCCCTTTCCCTTCCTTGCTGCCCAGGCGTCTATGCCTGTCTCTTGCTATATATTAGTCTATGTGTCTCCTCTGCCCAACAAGGCTGCTGGACGGATAACATATCATAGAGATTAAAAGCATGAGCTCTGGAGCCAGGCCATTGCGATCTGAATTCTTGGCACTGCCACCTCCCAGGTATGACCTTTGCCATATCAATTATCTTTTCTGAGCCCCATTTTTCTTATCTGTAATGTTGAAAAAGTAGTATGTATTTCCAGTGTTGTTTAAAATACCATACAACCAGCATGTTAAGAAAGGAAGGAAGGAAGAAAGGGGGGTAGGAGGGAGGAAGCAAGGGGGAAGGGACAAAGAAAAAAGGAAATAAAGAACAAGTCTGTAAGCCTCTTGGAATAAAAGAGCATGTACTTTTCATTTTTTGTTGTGTGCCTCATTAAATTCATTCATCATTATCAGTCATGTGTTCATGCAATATACCAGTTGCTGAAATAAATCAGTCCTTGTCTGTTCTCACATGGAAGGAGTGACAAGGCATGGCATCAGTGACTGCAATAGTTTGGTGACAGATGAGGGACAGCAGAGCACTGCTGCTCATGGCTCTGAGGCATGGGTTCAAATCCTACTTCTGTCATTTCCTGGCTGTGTGACTGGTTCAGTTACTATGACCTGTCTTAGGACTGTAGGGAATGCAGAAAAAGATGATGAGGGATTGAGGGGGAGAGACTATGGGGGTAATGTAAATAATGTACATATAAGTCTAATCGGAATTGTCACTATGAATCCCCCCTGAATAATGAATTCATCTTAATAAAAAAATTTAAAAGATTTGAATGATTGGAGTGCCCACCAAGGGTTTATGTGTTAGAAGTTTGGTCCCCTGTGTGACGATTTTGGGAGGTGGTATTGCTCTTAGAAGGGATTAAGGTAGTTCTCATGGGACCCATTAGTTCCTAAAAAAGTGAGTTGTTATAAAAGAACAAGCCTGACTCTTAAATTCCTCTCTGACTTCCTGTCTTCCCATCATGATGCCCTTCCCAGAGGCTGACCCAATGGGGCTGCCCAATGTTAGACATTCAGTCTTCAAAACTGTGAGCTAAATAAACCTCTTTTCTTTGTACTCAGCCTCGGTTATTTTGTCATAGCAACAGAAAACAGAATAATAAGAGTGCTTGATACATAGTGTTCACTATATGTTTAATATATGTTGTAGATGCTACATTTTACACAAACACAGAGTGTAACAGGCAACCACTTCAGATTGCCATGGGATCACAGAAGGTGGAACACAAAACTTGAGTCTGGCAGGTCTAACAAGAGAAGGTGACCACAGGGCCAAGTTTTTTTTTTTTTTTTTTGAAAGGCAATACTCTTTATTCTCTTGCACTAATTGGCAGTAAATGAAAATATAGACTGAAACAGACAAATATTGTCGCCGAAAATAAACAGTAAGATACTGACATATGAAATGTTTGTTAGTATTTAAAATTGTATGAAAAATACAAGTGCCTTAAAATTATAATACTTAAGAAAGTGAGAGAAGAGTAGAGGAGCAGAAGTTTGATTTGCACTGAGTTATAGCATGAGAGAACTCCAGTCGTTCCATAGGGCTTTTGGGGGATCCCAGGACAAACTTGTTGAAAAGGCCCTGCTAATGAATTTAGATGTTGCCTGAGGACAAGATAGGGTTACAGAAAGCTGGACACTGCCTAGAGCAGTGTGGCATTATCTGCGCTAGCCACGTTTTTATAGCATCAGCCAGTAACAATCAACATTTCAGTCATGACCCTGAGGCCTAAGGGATGCTGAATCAAAGACTAACAAAGGCTATGCTTGGTGGTACAGACTTGTAGGGCCAAGTCTCTGTTATGTTGTTATTTCATTTCATTTACAGATGGTAAATCCTTTGTGGGAAGGGCCCTTGCCTTTCCTCTTTATCTCCTTCTGGATGTGCCTGCAACAATTTGGGGACACATCAGATTTGTCCGACAGATACTAGCAGAAGAAGTCAAAACCCCTGCAAACTACATAGGCTAACTTCTAGCTATTTAAGGGAATTTAGTGGAATGTTCTGAAATACAAAGTAGAGATGGGAGTGAGGTATGGGCGCTGCTGCAGTGACATGTTGACGACCAAATGCCACACAGGTTACCTGCAGGAGGTTCGGCTTCAGTGTCATGATTGGCAGTGCTTTTACATCACACAGCCAATTAGACAGCTGACCCCTTCAGACCACAGAATGGCAGAGGCTCTTATTTCTGACTTCTGGTAACACAATATAAAATTAGCCAAACTATATTCCCTTTTATTTGAGAGTAAAAAGGAGTAGAAAGAAAATAAAACACTCCCAAAAGGAGAAAAGCCACTGAGTTTCAAGCAGGGACACAGTCTACTGGGGAACACAAATCCTCCAAAACAGTGTCTTAACAGTCTTTTAACCTAGGCTCGTTTATTAATTTGTTTATTCTACAAATATCTTCCTATATCTGAACAAAAGTCTCTATCTTGTTCTACCAGTTCATGAGGGGTATACTGCAGGGGGGCAGTTTACACACCCATTACCAACTAAGTCTGTCTACTTGCCACTTGACAGGCCAATGATGCAAAGGAAAAGATTGATTTATTTGAAAAACCAGCACACCAAGAAGATGAAAGGCTTCTGCAAACAAAGACCATCTTAATTCAACCTAGGTTTCAAGCTCCTTGGTCCCTAAGTACAGGGAAGAAGAAAGCCTTACGTTAGGAAAGGATTGTTGACTGCAGACTTCTAGGCACCTCTCCAGTGGTCTGAAATAGTATGTTGTGAAACTTGGTGGCTGGTAATTTTGACCATGACACCTTTGTAAATCTTAAAAAATATCGTAAATCCTCTTGACTTAGTATCTTCAGCCTTAAAGAGGGAAACAGATTAGGTAAATCCAGGAGTAATAAATGTATGACCAATTTCAGACAAACATCCGTAAATAATTAACATGTCCACAGGTGGAGTTGAGCAGAAGTCTGATCCCAAGGTTAAGGTACAGAGTCCTCAGCTGTGTGGCCTCCAAAATTAGTGATTTTTTTTTTTAACTCCACTAAAAGCAAGTGAAGCTAGAGGGTTTGTTTAGGCTCCCCTAACACATACACATTAATAACTATAAAATAACAATTTGTGAAAAGTCCTATGAAAAAAAAAACCATAGCATTCTGTGCTATGAAAGAGAAGAAAGGAAGCCTGTTTCCCCCCAGGAAGGAAGGTTTTCCTGAGGAAAAGTCTAGAAGCATGATCAGAAAAGGCCTGGACAGGCCCCACAGGGAGAAGTTCCATGCAGGGGGAAGGTTCCATGCCAGGCTCAGTGGAAAGAGCTGAGTGAACACAAGGACAGAAAGGAGCCCAGGGTGGAGTGGAGGGGAGAAAAGGAGGAGCTCTGGGGAGGGCTGAGGTCAATGGGGACAATTAAGCAGGAAAGAGTAAGAAATGAGGAGGGCCCTGGATTGTAGTTCATAATCTCTCCCCAGTTTAGCACAGGTCAGCTGAGCCCAGGGAAAAGTCTGGCCACAGTCGGGACCAGATGACACAGGCAGAAAGGTTCCCACACCCCAGGTTAGGTGCTATTTCTTACTGGTCAGAGGTTGAAGTGGCAGGAAGTGGGAGGGACAAAGTCACACAAAAGGAAGGCTAGGAGCCAGGCAGGCCTGCGTTTGACTCCAAACTCCCGAGTGGCCTTGCACAAACCGGTGCCTAGCCTGTGAGGAAAAGGTAAGAGTGTCCACCCTCCAGGGCCCTAAAGGGGACTGCAGAGAGGTGGGCCTGGTCCGGGAAGAGACCGGAATAACGGTTGTGACTGCTTGTGTTGGGAGGAGGGATGCATCTGAAAGACCCTGAGTAGGTGACATCCACCAAGTGTCAGGCGAGGCTGGGGGCGTGGGGCGGTCCTAGCCAAAGCTGGATCTCTGTTGTCACCAACAAAGAGGGCGGGTGCACTCGTCGCTGTGACTTGAGCAAGTAAGTGATCTGCAGGGAAGCGAGGGGCGGAGCCAGAGTGGGAAGAAGGAGAAAGAGGGAAGGAGAGGAAGCTCGCGAGGAAGGTGAGGGTCGGGGACCCGGGGACAGGGATGTCGGGCTCTGGCGCGGGGGATGCGGCAGAGCCCGGGCGGTGGCAGCAGCCCCCAGGGACGCGAGCTCGGCCGGCGGATGCCGCCTCGGACGCGGCCTCGGAGGCGACCCCGACCCCGCAGGGGGAGGTGACAGCAAGGGAGGTGGCGAGGAGCGGGTGGCCTGCTCTGCTGGCCTTTGCTCCGGGGTCCCCAGGGACGCGGGCACGGGCGGGTGGCCCTCGGCAGGCTGCATGGCTCAGCCGAGGCCGCTTTCTAAGTGCTCCCCGCGGGTGCGGGGACCCCTCCGCCACCGACGCCTGCGGGCTGGGGACTTGGGGTTACACAGGCCTCTCCTGGCTCAAGCTGATCCTCCATTGGAAAGCGCGGTGACCTCAATCCCTTTGTCCATCCCACTACGTCTCCCCCCGCCCCCCGACACACACACACTCCTGCTGCCCACCTGTCAGCGTTCCTGTCCCCCTCCCTGAGCGGACCTGACCAGGCAGTGAGTGTGGAGCTGCACCCGAAGGAAGAACGACCAGATGGCTTAAATGTGGACAGAGTGGGTAGCGGAATGGGGTGGGGAATAACTGCGTGCAAGGGGACCTAACCTGTGATTCTGGCAAGGGCCTGATGCCTGACTAGAAGTCATCTAATTTGGCCATAGGTCAACAAAGGTTCCCTGGGGTCTTCAGGAAATAAGGTGCTCAGGCCACTGTGACAGTTACCCCTTAACTGCTCATACGCCAGCCCACCATGCGTTAGGTCCTAAGGCCTCACCCCTCTTCCTCATCCTTCCTCTTTGCAACAAGCCCCTCAAGACAGCTCAGTTACACCCACTTAATAGGTGAGAGGCTGAGGCACAGACTCATTACTGTCACTTCTCCCGAGGCACAGGGCCATTGAGGCAGAATTAGAGCTCGAGTCTTTCTGAATTCAGGACATTGTGCTGTCTCTCCAGTAACACTAGACACGTGAGATGAAATTTGGAGCAAGTGGAGCCTTGCGGTTTAGTAATTAAAGCCGGAAACAGAATAGTGCATCAGTGTTTCTTTTGGGGGAAAGTAGTCCTGGCACGCAGGGCTGCTGCATCCCGTGGACACTATGGGGGAGGGGAGTTCATGGTTCACTTGGAGCTTGTCTGTCAGCCAAATCCAGGATGCAATCCTGAGCGATGTGATTTCTGTTGACCCATTCTGTCCTGTAATTCTCTGCCCTCTGAAATGACTTCCCTTTGAAGTCATTAGTGGTTTGGTTTTGTTTTTTCTCTTGTTGGTATTCCCTTGGGCTCAATGTTCACAGTCTCTAGTACCCTTTGTAGAGGAATTTATTCAGGTTTCTTTCTTTAACTCTCATCTCTATGACAGCAGCTCCCAAATTCATCTCTTCAACCCATCTCTAATCTGGGACTTCAGATCCAAATCCTCTACAATTCTAGTCCCTATTGGCTAATTCCAGAGTTTGCCCCCATAGACACCCAAATCCAACATTTCCAAACCCAAATTTATCATCCCCACCCTTCCCACCAGGGTCTTGGTCCAGGTGTCTTCAGCTCCTTATATAGATTATTGGTTTACTGTCCAAACTGGTCTTCCGCCCACCCTCTACACAGCTTCTGAAAGCTCTGGAGTCTTGGCCTCCTTAGTGGCTTCAAACCTAGCATACAAAATAGAGCTTCCTTCCTCACTTTCCTAACAACCTGTACTTGACTCCAGAGACAGCCCTTTTCATATCGTATAACTGACAACATATTTGCCTACCCTTTAGACTGTGAGCTCCTTCGGTGGTGACTGTATCCTCAGACTTGCCACAGAATAGTCACTGGTAAATATTTGTATAGTTAATGACTTTGTAATGAATTGAGACCTGTTTTCAAACCACAATTTATACTCAATAAAACACACACAAAGAACTGAGGGCATAGCTCAAGTGATAGAAAACCTGCCTAGCAAACATAAGGCCCTGAGTTCAAAAGCCAGTTCCAACAAACACACGCACAGTGTGATGTTTCTGATTTGTGATCATTAGTGAGTTAGCGAGCAAGAGAGTTAGAGAGTTAGAAATTGAGTTTAGATAGTGGCAAGTCCAAATTGAGTTTTTAGATGGCTGCCGATTAATACTAATGACAAAATATTGGTAAGTTTTCCAAATAAGTGATTTGAGCTTGATATATAAACACTCACACATGGCACAGCAATTCTCTTCTACTTTCCCCAGACATCGGATTAAGGAGTTCTCAACAAGAAGAGAGACAAGGACAGAGTCATCATGGCTTCAGTATCCACTCATGGAAACCAAGAGAAACCTCCCCATTTGCCACCTCTAGGCAAGCAGGTATATTTTTGATTTGAGTCTGCCATCTGAAGAGGAATCACACAGGACTTTCACTATACCCAGTACCTTACTTTTTTTCCAGTCTGGCACTTTGTTGAACACGGGGCAGGTAATGGGATGAGGAAGCAAGAGATGTTTTTTGGTTGCCTTGAAATTTTGTGTTTACAAACTCCTTTCTTTATTCTTTACTGATTAGAATCCAACTTAAGTAACTCTGATGGAGGCTGTTGGCTAGGGAAGAGGTTTTCTGTAGCAGAACAAAACTACACTGTCTCTAACAGTGGAGAATGAATACATTTTGCTTATTTTTACATTTTTTTGTTACTGAGCATATGCTGCTGTCAGATGTTGCTTTTAGTAGAGCAGAATCCTTAATTACTAATTAGCCGTCAGAAGGGGAACCAAATATTAACATGGGCCCATTTTTTTTCACCTTGTCAGGGATGGCTATCATGTGTTTCAGGAACACATAAATGAAAAAGAGGGAGTATTTGATGGGTAAGTGGAGTTCATGTTCTCTGGAGTCAGCTTTTCAAGCTAAAACTTGCTTATGGAGGAGATGTTTAAGGAGCAAAGTGTAGGAGATGTTTAAGGAGCAAAGTGTAGGAGATGCAAACAGACAAATGATAACAGGTCACAAGAAGAATTGGAACACTGAGCTGCCTCTGTGAAATGGAGATGAAGACCCATAAAACATTTATTACTGTACAAAAAAGGATCCCCAGAGCTCCTAAAAGGAGACTGCAGGAACTCCTAATCTTAACTGTAAGACTCACAGCAGTTGTGATCATTGGGTATGTAAGTGTGTGTGTGTGTGTGTGTGTGTGTGTGTGTGTGTGTGTGTGTGTTGGAGATTTTCTTTATTTCTCCTGTGGCCATAGCCAGAGCAAGAAAAAATACAGATATTCCAAATATTCCTTGATTTACAATGGGACAATATTCCAATAAATGCATTGTAAGTTGAAAATATCATTAGTCAAAAATGTATTTAATGCATATAACCTACTGAACTCTAGCTGAACAAAGCAGTCCACTCTAGAGTGTTGGCTGTGGACCCTTGTGATCACGTAGCTGACTAGGAGCTGTGGCTCAGCCCTGCTGTCCAGCATCACAAGAAAATATTGTACTCCATGTTCTAGTCCAGAACATGAGCAAAACTTCAAAGTTTTAAAGTATGGTTTTTACTGAACACATAGCACTTTCACGCCATCTTAGAGTCAAGTTGGAGACCATCTGTATTTACCCTGGACATATGGAGGGGTGGTAAAGAGAGAGCGACAACATTGCTTCTCCCATTGCTGTGCATTACCATGGTGACTGATTGTAGTGACTCATATTGACCACTGCATCCTTGTTCTGTGCTGTGTGGAGTTGTAGAAAAATAGAAGGGAGGTTACCACCTTGCATTGCCTGTAGAGCTCTGAAAGCAGATATGTCACAGGGCTCCTCTACCATGCTAATATAACACCATGCCTATCAAGTGCTAAACACAGTGCCCATGAGAAAGTACTCAGGAAATGAATATTAATCACATTAATACCTACTACATACAAAGAGTCTAAAAAACAACAGGGGCGAAATCAGCAAATCTTTCTTTACGGAGGAGGAACACGGAGCTGAGTCTTAAGACTGGATAGGTGAAGGAAGTGGGCAATGTTGTAGGTACAGACAGCCCCGTAGATGGGGTGGGAAGTGAGCAAGAGCAGGTGGCCTCGTCAGTAATTCAGCCTGACGACATAGCGGCTCCATGCACTCTGGTTAGTGAACCAGAATCTCCAGCTAAGATTCTTTTCTTGCCTAAATCCATCTGGCATGGCCAACTCGAAAGCATGTGGAAAGTGGTCACTGCTCTGTGTAGGCAGAGGGCACAGACACATGCTGAGTGACAAGAGTGAGACTGTGCCTCCTCTTCCAGACAAAACAAAGAAGATGCTTTTCTAATGCTCTCAGTGGGTTTTTTTTTTTGTTATTTTTTGTTTACTTGCTTTGTTTTATTTTGTTTTGAGATAGAGTCTCACCCTGTAGCCCTAGCCAAACTTGTACTCAAGACCCTCTTAGCCTCTTGAGTGTTGAGATAAGACATACCCAGCTTGATCTTGATTAATTCACCATACAATTTTCCCTACAGAGCCTGTTGTTTTGCCCAAAATCTAAACTGCACATCCACAAAGGAGAGATTTCCAAGATTATCCGAGAATGTCAAGAAGAAAGTTTCTGGAAGAGAGGTAATTGTACCCTTCTTGATCGTAATTCACACTATATTTGCTACAATAAACTGCCTCCTTATCCTATTTGGATTGTGGTGATGATTTTGAGCAGGGATTTTTGCATAAATCCCTAAAGGATATTTAGAGTTTAAATCCATATTGAGATATGATTATGGAGCACTTAACTCATGTAGCAAAAAATGATACACATACTCTACATGTGAGCATCAACAGGTACCAAGAATATTACATAGAATTTATTGACTACCAAAGAGTAGACCTGCATAAATCTGCCAGAGTATAAATTTCTCAGAACTCAAAAATAATCTCAAGTTCATCTGAGACTTTATCCCAGAGCTTCATACAACTCACACATAGAAATACCTCATAAACATTTGCTGGCCGAATGAAAAATGGCAGTGTTCCATTAATAGTTCTCTTACATTGTCCCTGAAAAGCCTTTTCTATTGATTGCTTCCCCGCTCTGGGTCTGCCTGACATAAGACAGGATGTGGATTCGGGCTGTGCATTAAAGTTCCTTCATGATTTGTCATTTGAAGATTATGTCATAGATCCTATAGATACAGCCCCAATATTGTGTATCATTGCCAACATAGAGATAATTTAGACTTTGCAATACTCATCTTGATATCATAAGCCATTCAAATTCATAATCAATAATTTTGGAAGTGGCCCTCTCTAGAAGTTGATATTCATTGCACCTTGTCATGATTACTGATTGTGCCTGTAGAAATTCATCTTTTCTGACAACCTATGAGCAAATACTTTAATTGAGCCCTACATTAAATATGGCCCATTTGCTTACCATCTGGTCACTAGCTGTGAGTGGAAAAATTGGTTGCTATTTGATTTGTCTTGGTTGCTAGGAAGAGCTAGATGTTTATTATTATTCTTTGCCTTTAGAAGAAATCATTTGACACATTTTGACAGACCTAGAAACTGCTTTTGCCACTCTAAATTGCCTGTGTTAAAAAACATAGCTAAACACTCACTGCACATGTTTAAACATGGATATGGTCTTCATGTAACCTTCAGCCAAAAATCTAAATTGTGGGACAAAATATCATAAAGACAATACTCAAAGCATAACAAAACAAAACAAAAACCATAGGGAACTGTCCTAGATTAAAGAAGATATAAACATGACCCTGGATTTTATGCACTGGAAAAGAAACAACATGCAACTATGTAGGACATTATTGTGCCAGTTGGAGAGATTTAAATTTATGATTTATATCAGTCAATATCTTTTGTTGTGTATGACTACTCAAGAAATATAAATTTCTTGATTATGCTAATGGTATTATGACTACAAGGGAATGTTCTTATGCTTAGAAGATATTCACTGAAATAGTCAAGGATGGAAAGCCATGATGTTTGCAAATTTCAATGGCAGGGAGAAAAAAAAAGAAAGAAAAATATAGAAATATAGAGATAAAATAAATTTTTCACAGTTATTGGTTCTAGATGAAGCCCGGTGGGAATTCATTGTACTGCTTTTAACAATGATGTGGGATTAAAAATATAAAACTAGCTGGACATGGTATATGCCTGTAATCCTAACACTCGGGAGGCTGAGGCAGGCAGATCCTGAGTTCAAAGCCAGCCTGAGCTATGTAGCAAGGCTTGTCCAAAAAAAAACATGAAGGGAGGGAGAGAGGGAAAGAGAGACGGAAGAAAAGAAAGAAAAGAAAAAAATTATCAAATGATATATCTAAAGGCAACTCCCTAGACTAGGAACACAGCCCAAGTGGTGAAGTATTTGCTTAGCAAACATGAGGCCTTGGGTTCAATCCCTAGTATAGCAAAAAAAAAGAAAAAAACTTAAACAGCAACTCCCAAGTTCAATAGTTAAGTGTCCATACACTCTAAGATGCCCATGTCAGATAGTAGTTAGAACAGTGTACACTTACTGCCTTCAGTAACATGGATGTCAGGGATGGGGTCAGATTAGTGCTGTCCTTGAATGACTGAGTCAGATCCCAAGAAAATTCTCCATGCAATATTTAATAAGCTTTTATCAAATAAGTAAAATAACAATCATTAAGACTCACTGCCAAGGAACGCAAGAGGAAAATCTCAGAGTAATTCTCCCTGACTTCTAGGTGAGGGGCCACACTTCATGGTACCAGTATTGAAGGGTGTTTTTGTTTTACAGCTCTGCCTTTTTCTCTTGTAAGCATGCTTGTTACCCAGGGACTCGTCCACCAAGGTAAGGGTCAGTGTTTGTCAAATTGTTTGACTTCAGAGAGCCCAGTTTTCTGTGACTCTCCTGGTAGCTTTTTGGTGATATGCAGTATTAGCTTGGGGTGTACTTTTTGGTTTTGGGCAAAGGAATTTTTTTGTTTTGTTTTAATGCAGGGTTTTGCCTATTTTCAGCCTAAGTTCCCATCTCATCTCCCTAGAAGATGCTCTGATCCCCAGAATGAGAATGTATTAGATTACCTGGCAAAAGGAAATTAAAGTTGCCGGTGGGGTTAAGAGTATTTACCAGTTGATCTTAAAATAAGCAGATTATACTGAATGACCCAGGGGGACACTCAATGTAATCAAATGGGTCTTTAAAAATGACAAGGGAGAGCAGAAGCAGAACTGGAAAGATGGCAGTATGAGGAATCAATTCAACATGACTGGCTTTGAAGACTCAGGAAGGGGCTGCAAGCTAAGGAATGTGGGGGCCTTTAGGATCTGGAAAGACCAGAGACCCTGTTCTCCAGGAAGGAAAGTGGCCTTTGAAGAGATATGGCTACCACCTTGATTATAGCTCAGTGAAACTGATTTTGGACTTCTGACTTCAAAGAACTATAAGATAATAAATTTGTGCTGTTTTAAGCCTCTGAGTTTGTGGTAATTTGTTATAGCAACCATAGGAAACTAATACAGTACCTTTCTCTATACCAAGATGTCTTCCAGGGTCTCTGTCCATAGCTAGACGGATTTTTAGTGCTCCGTGGAGGAGGTGAGTGGAGCTGAAACTCATTTCAAGCCCTGTCCACGAAGCCATTTGTCCTGGCAAAACACTTCATTGCCTGAGGAAGGGCACTCTGTCTTACCCACACAGAATGGCGGCCACTTTGCATCTCCTCTCATAGACCTCTTGCCTCTGAGTTTTCCTCTCTATTCCTCCTTCCTCGTTCCCATCTCGTTCCTTGTCTACACCTACCAGAGAGCCCATAAACATTCTTTGTTGCCCAGGTAACAAGGCATCTGACTCTGTTTAAGCCCATTTTACTGAACGCTGCTAATTACCAGGATATTTTTTAAAGGAGTGCTTATACTCAGTAAACATGAGGGGAAATGCCCTAGTTCTTTTTTTCTTTTTTCTTTTTCTTTTTTTTTGTCTCAAAGATCATGTGTTATGTATTTTGGAGAATTCCACTTTAATCAACGTTATTCTTGTACATAAAGGTCATATATTAAATATGATTGCATTTTTATTAGCACATAATAGTTGTATGGGGGAGTACATATGTGTTTATAAAATATCTTAGATTTACCCCCTCCACTGTTCTCCCTCCTCCCCTGCCCCTATGATTTCATTTTTATAACTTAAAGGTAACTGAAGAGTCTTTTTGTAGAAACACTCATCAATCAGTAACAAACCTTTGCCATATCATTTTTATACAGAAAAGAAATATGGCCAGATTATCTATGAAGTTATGTTTTATAAAAATACTAAACTACCTAAAAATCTACCACCTCTTGCATCTGTGCAAGTATATTTTTTGATGGCTATGTATTTGTTTTCTACTGTAACAAATTACCACAAACACAGTGGCTTACAACAACACAGATTCAGACTGGAGTGTGGTTCAAGTGACAGAGCTCTTGCCTAGCAAGTGGGAGGCCCTGAATTTCATCCCGTGTGAGAAACAACAAACAAACAAAAAATAGATTTATCATTTTTTTTAGAAAACCAGAAATTCCGGAGACCAGAAGTCCAAAATGGGTCTGACTGGGTTAATATCAATAATGGTCCAATTGTATTTCTTCTGGAAGTTCTCGGGCTTCCTTTCCAGCTTCTAAAGGTCACCTGCATTCCTTGGCTGGTGGCCTCTTCCTGCATCTTCAAAGCCAGCCATATTGAGCCATATTTTCCTCCCCTGTCTCTTCTCTGGTTCTCTCTAATGCCTTCTTCCACATTTGAGGATTGTTGTGATCATGTTGAATCCACCTGGACCATCAAGAACCATATTCCTCTTTTAAAGTTATCTAATTAGTAATCTTAATTCAATTTTCTACTTTAATTCCCCCTTACGTGGTGTAACATTGTCACAGTTTCCAAAGATTATGATGGGGACACCTTCAGGAGGTTACAATGCCTTTATTTAAAAACTGTGATGTGTACACTGTGAATCTCTAAATTGAAACTTCCTAAATAGAGTTACTTTAAAAGAGGAAAGAACAATGACTAATTTCTCTGAATTCAGTTTAAATAAGTCTTGAATTGCATGTTTCATATTCTTTTTCTACATGTAAAAACTAATATTTACCATGTGCCTAAAATGACTGTTTGAAAATTAAATTCAACCAAAAAATTGAATCATAACTCTTCTACAATCATTTCTTTAGATTAAGAACATCAGGTTGGTAGAGTGGTTCAAGTGATAGAGTGCCTGCCTAGCAAGTGTGAGGCCCTGAATATAAACCCCAGGACTGCCAAAAGAAAAAAAAACTTATTAAGAACATATGTACATTTAAGAAATATCATATCTTTGTTGGTGGAGTGATTCAAGTGGTAGAACACCTGCCTAGCAAGTGTGAGGTCCTGAGTTCAAACCCCATACCACCACCAAAAAAAAAAAAGAAAGAAAGAAATGTTGTATGATAAATTTTGAAAGTTTTCTTTATAAAGTTAAATAAGTTAGAAAATTAAATAATATTGTAAACATTACTCCTTAGGTTATTTAGCAGCTAATCCGAGATTTGGATCACTGCCTAAAGTTGCACGTAAGTCATAGAAGTAAACAAAAGCTGATGTATTTTGACAGAAGAGCTGTTTGTAGGAACTGGACATATGCACCTCCAGCTTAACCAAATGGTTTGTACTGACTGAAGACTCAGTCTCCACTCTCTACCACTTTGCATTTCCGAGTTCATTCAACACTGTCTGATATTTAGGCTAACTGTATGACTTCTCCTTAGATAGCTTTATTTAAAACAAAGACTGCCAGGGACTGGCACGATATACACAGCTGTCCCTCAGTCTTCATGGGGAATTAGTTCCAGGACCCCTTGAGAATACCAGAGTCTGCAGGCTCTTCATTCTCTTACATAAAGTGGTGTGGCCCTTGCACACATCCTGTGCACGTCCTTCCATATGCCTTAAATCATCTCTGGATTATTAACAATGCTTGACACAATGGAAATACTATGTAAATGGTTGTTTATGGTATTACTTAGGGAATATTTTCAATCTGCTGTTGGTTAAATCCACAGATTTGGAACCCATGGATATGGAGAGCCAACTATAGCAAAATTATCAACAGCAGAACCTTTGAATGATAGATTCATAAGGGTTTTTATTTTAATTTTTTTCTCTGGCTTGGCCAATACGTTCAAAGTATTACCTATAATGTACATTAAAATGATTAATCTTTTAAAATCAGGACTTCCTAATAAAAATTTACCATAGACTTGGGGTGTCATTTCCTTCTGATTGGACCTTTTATGTTCCAAAAGGATGATATCAGTTTATAGCCTGAAATCTCCTTCCCAGCAGATACAAAAGGTTCAAGAGCCTCTTCCTTCCTCATTACATATCTTTTAGGGGCAAGGTGGAGTAAGGTTCCCAACTACCCCCCCTGCCCATAAAGGAAATGAAGGGGCTTTTCTATCTGTGACCTAGAGGCTATACCCAGACACCATCTTCCCTCCTCTGACAGCCTCTGCCATTTGTTTCACAGCTGGATCACATTCCAGCTGCCCATCTCTGGCTCACCACCCTTGCTTGCTCCTTCCTGGCCCTCTGCTATCAGTTCAAAGCAGAGATCACAAAGTTTCCAGTTCCTAGTCCTGCTTCATTCTCAGAGTTTTATTGTGGTACTTTTAACATAAAAATAACTAGTGTTAACAAGGAAAGTTCTAGAAAATAATTAATGGAGACAATTGTGAATCTTTCAATTATGCATGTTTCCTAACCTGCTTTTACAGTTGCTGGTCTCTTGGGGTTTGGCCTTGGAAAGGTATCATACATAGGAGTATGCCAGAGCAAATTCCACTCCTTTCAAGAACAGCTCCGTGGGGCTGGTTTTGGTCCAGAGCATAACAGGTTTGTAATCCATAATGAAGGTAATTATAAGAAATTAAATGAGTAATCCCAATCATTATTTATAATATTAATTACATTTTTAAACTCATCTAAAAAACTCTTTAACCCTCAAGTTTTTTAGTTATCGCTACTCATCTTCAATTATAGTTTGTTATTTAACTTGGTTTCCTGTTTCTTTTACTTGAATATTTAATGAGTACCTACTATATTGGGGAAGTCTCTAAAGAAAACCTTAGTAAACAGACATGACTTCTATCATCACAGGTTATACAAAATTTAAAGTCTTCTTTACTGCAGAGCTTCTCAGAGCCTTCAGTATGACAGTACATGTGTAATATGCTTTGCAATTCTCACTCGAGGATATAAGCAGTAGGACTGTAGAGTTAACAGTGTGGCCTGTACTGTAGAGGGCTTTCTCGAGCTCCCCTGTTCTCCTGACCTAACTGGGGGCGACTGGAGATGCAGAAAGGACAAACGATAGAAGACAGACATGCATAAGTTGGGACCAGCTGTGCTTAGCGCTCAGATGAAGACGCACAGCAGCCTCATTGCTTCTTTTCTTCTCTATTCTTAAAGGCCTTACTCCTTCATAATCCTTTAAAACCTTGCTTCTTTTCTATTATTTAAAGTCTCTTTCCTCAGACTCACACTGTCCCATGTTTTCTCTTTAGTTTTCTTAAAGTCTTGGTGCTCAGACTTGCACTACCCCATGTTCCCTTTTGAAGTCTCAGTCCTCAGACTTGCACTGTCCCATGTTCTCTCTTTAGCTTTCTTAAAGTCTTGGTGCTCAGACTTGCACTATCCCATGTTTCCTGTAATCTCTAACATAACTCAGCAGCAGCAGCATCACTCTGCGGCAGTCCCCTCCCCCACAAGCCACCAACCAATCAGTCCATCCCCCATCAAAAAACCCTCCATCAATCCCCATCAAAAAACCCCTCATCCTCCTTCAGTGAGTCTTTTATATCCACTGTTAAACAAGGAGGTGGAGCAACAGTTCTTGGGGAGGGATGTGACATTGTAACAAGAGAAACCTGCAGTTCCTATTTCTCTGATTGTAAACAATTTAGGAAAAGCAGCTGTGCTGCATTTTGCCTCTCACTCTCTTCTGCAGCTGGGGCTGTGACAAACTCAGCCTGTAGATCATTGAGCACAATTGTGCTTATGTCAGGTTCTCATAGGCTTCTATAATCCGCTCCCCACACTGTACTGTTAGCGTACTTGGGTAGAAAACTAGTTCTACTACTTGCTAAGCTATATGGCCTGGCACAAGTTTCTAAAACTCTCTAATCTTCAGTTTTCTCATCTTTTTAAAATGACAATAAGAATCGTTTCTGTGGCTGTTGAATAATAGTGGGTAGGGGGGAGGGGAAAGAGAGTAATAGAGGGGGTTAATGTGATTAAAGTAAAATATATTCATGTGTGAAAGACCACAGTGAAAACCCTTTGAACAATGAAGGTACACTAAAAAAACGAAGGACCGAGTATAAAACAGGTCTTGTTAGGGGTTAGGTATTAACGGAAGGGGGAGGGGTAAACAGAGAGGGTGAAGGAGAGTGAGTATGGTCAATGTACCTTAAATACTTGTGTAAAAATAGAACAATGAAACCTGTTGAAATTGTTTTAACAAGGCTGGAGGGGGAATGAGGGGAAATGATGGGAGGGGCAGGGTGAATTTAACCAAGGTAAGTTATAAGCATAATATGGAAATGTCACCATGAAACCCCCCTGCACAACTAATATGTGCTGATAAAAATGTTTAATTAAAAAATCATTTCCATGGGATATTGTAAAGAGTAGAAATGGTTAGTCGTGACACTCAATAAGCGCTGTTTCTACCACAGGACTAGTGTTGGAGACACAGTTCTCTAAAGACCCCTCACTTGTCACAGTAGATTCTGCTTGAGAGGCAGCATGATACAGGAAAACAATATTGGGCTACAAGTAGGGCTCCCATGTTCTCTTTGTCATTTCTTCATTTGTAGGAAGTGGTTGAAGTGAATGTTCTCCACAGGGTCGAACTTTGCATTCTGTGACTCCATCTTGCTTGCCCCCTTCAGCCACAGGAGCCACACTCTGGGCTTGCATTAGTAGCCCCGTGGCTAACCAGTTTGGAGGGCCTGTGTGGAGAACAATTACCAGCACATTTTAGAGGCAATAATTCACAAACCCATTTGATTTTCTAGGGGAGGACAAGAAGAGTGGGACACCTAAGTAGAAGTTGAGGAAAGGGTTAGGGGAAAACTTTTTGGAGGAAGTGATGGTGCTCAACTTGAAACTTAAAGACCAGTAGGAGTCACAGTGCGGCTGATGAAGAGGATTCCAGGCCAGGAATAGAATTTGTAGAGGAAGAAAGTTGATTTGTTAAAGGAAATCATAAGTACATCCTGTGGCTAAAAACGTAAATACACTTTGGGAAATGGCAGAAGACAAGCTGGAAAGCTAGGCAGACAAGGGTCACTTCCTGAAGGATTTTGTGCAACCCTGAGGATCCCCACTTCATTCTTAATGTAATGGGTAAAATAACTGATAAAGGAAGGGGAGGGATCAGCTCATCATTCCTGTCTTTAGGGATTTGCAATAGCAAATAATAGCTTCTGGTCTTGCTGCCTTCTGAGGAAAACTTCTTACTGGAGCCAGGGCCATACAAAACACACCCCATCACTGTCCTGTGTAAATACAGACCTGTTCCAAACTCTTCTTTGTAGTAGATGCCAGCCAAATGTTTGTGGGGTTGAATTTACAAGATGCTAAAACTTTACTGTTGGGAAAAGGGCCAAGGGAACATCTATTTCATGGCTGTGGATATTATTCTGGAACAAAGCTGTGTGTTTTCCTTGATATTCTGTTAAATCCTAAGGAGACTGATATAAACCAGGCAAATTGTAAATGAGGAATTCTGTTATGTCAATGTTTTTAAGTTTAAAAACATATGTGTATGTATATATGTGTGTGACCAAACCTAAATCCATAGACTTACATATGTATACGTGTGTCTGTGTGTGTGTGACCAAACCTAAATCCATAGACTTACAGTGAAATCCTAGATGAATGCATTATGTATTTTACACTTTTGGGGAGGAGGGGAGAATGGGTCTTACTCTGTTGCTTAGGCTGGTTTTGAGATACTGGACTCAAGAAATCCTCCCACCTCAGCCTCCTGAGTGCTGGGACTAAGAAACATGCCACCACACCTAGCTTATTTTGTAATTTTAAAAATGCTATTGGTAGAAATTACTCTACTTCAAAAAGAGTCAAAATGTTCAACCTCTGTGAGACTCTGAGCACAAATACAACCATCTGTTTCAATGTAAAGATTATTATTGGGTTTTTTTGATGAAATTTTAAGAATTTTAAAACAAGAAACAACTATTATTCCCAAAAAAATTAGGCTAGAAAATGTCTCTAAATAATATTGTGCTAAGACTGGAGCTTCCATTGTCAAAGACAAACCACTACCTGTTTCTGCTTGTCTTCTAGGCACTGCCTGCTTACCTGCAAGGAATGCAAAATAAGGCGTGGATTAAGTGAGAACCAAGGTTCACAGCCTTCAGCTTCCTAAACTCACTTCTATGGTGTTTGAAGATTTTTAAACCTCTGAATTTGTATTCATTGAATCCTGTGGAACAGAAACCTTGTAATTCTCACTCTTTTGAAATGCTGTCTGTGGAAGGCTCTTGATTGAATTGAGCATAATATGTTCTTCTGCACTTTAAGAAAATGTTAGGAATCCTCACATGCCAAAAAAGAAATGTTGCACCCTGTCTTGCTTATAGCTACATACAAGAATTAAATAATTTAGAGTCTTCTCTCATAAGCTGTCATTCATTCTCTCTCTCGCTCTCTCTCTCTCTCTCTCTTTGTGTGTGTGTGTGTGTGTGTGTGTGTGTGTGTGTGTGTGTTTTAAGCTCTCTGATAGAGAATGGGAATGAGTGATAATTTGGGAAGTCCTAACACAAAGAAAACTTCATATGTATAGAGAAATATAAGATAAAAATGTTTGTATCTTATAAGTATTATACATGCCTTCTAAAATGTAAGGGTCAAGATTTTTAACTTAATGAAAAATATTTCATTTGAAAGGGTCACAATTCAAATCTGCTTTCATTGATGGAGGTGACTTTATGATTCATTATTCTAGTGGGTTTTAAAAACACCCATCATCTTTGGGTGACCTGCCTACCTAATGGGTACGTGCTCATGGTGGACACTCAATTACGGGTTCTTGTACAGACAACTTGTGACCTAAAAGAATAAACAGAACTTCCCAAACTACAGTCCTCCTCCTAGAGTACAGCTTACTGGAAGAATCACTAGAGGAATGATAAGCTTTGGAATTTTGAGAACTCGAAGGCAGCCAATGCAACTCCAATAATTGGAGTCCTATTTTCCAGCCAGAGTTTTTTGCATGGAAAAAAAAAATCCTTCTATTCGGGAGCCTTGTTTTATGGCAGGTTGGCTGAATCCTATACAAAAACTTCTCTCACATCTTTGCGTCTTCTCAGGAAAATGCTTTAGGTATGTGTCATCATTTATATAGAGAGGGTGTGTGTGCATATTTTTGCGTTTTACTTAATATATCTTAAATCCTGTACCATGGAGGTAAAAAGGGAAACCTCATCAAAAGATAGTACATGAGGGTCTGGTAAATGTAGCTGAGTGGTTGAGTGTTTGCCTAGCCTGCATGAGGGAGACCCTGGGTTTGATCCCCAGGACTGGTAAAGAAAAAAAAATTAATACATGATGTGAAATATTTTAAGCATCAAAAATATGTGAAAGTTTTGATTTTTATGTGAACAGAAAGTGCATGAAATGGAGTAGTTTAACCCAGCTTTTTTTTTTCATATCCTTTTTTTTCAGTCAATAAAGTTCTATTTCTATAAATCAGAATTCAGGCCAATATCCTAACTTCTTTTTCTTACTTTGTGGTAGAGGGGATTGAACACAGCGCCTCATGTATAGCTATGAAAGCACTCTCCCACTGAACTACATCCTAGCTTCTTGAGTGCAGTGTAACTTTTGGCTCTGACAACTAACAATTAGTGACTCTTGGTTATCTCAGCTACTGGCAAAAATTCAGAATTAGAGATGGTTATTTCCTGCAACCCAGAAAATGACTTCTCAGGATCAGAACATTTTCACAATGCTAAGAATAGCAAGTCAATGTTAAAATTGGTCTCAGGGTACTGAAAAAAGATGAATTTATTATGGTTGGATAGGAACATTGTTTTACTATTGACATCTTCATAGTTCTCAATCAAATTGGGTTTATTGCTTGGACTCTCTACTTATCCTAAGCAGAGAAGTTATTCATTGAAGCAGATTACCATGGTGATTTATCTTAGTGTGAAAGGAAATCAATAAGGAAAAAACTGGAAGATCACCAAACAAGTCTTGTTTATTCTGCTGCATATCTGCTGTGCGTATTAGGAAGTAGGTGTCAGGGAGAGAAGTCTGCTTCTTGTGTTTCAGGAGAAGCATTTGGCAATTACCAACATTCATCTTCAAGCTGGTCATATGCTTATGAAAGCTGAACCTTCATGATGAGGGAAAAAAAGAACTTGACAAGGAATAGGATAAAATTGCAGATAAATTTGCATGAAAGAAAAAAAAAAGGTTGGTTGTATATCTAACCAACCTTCCTAGCAGACTTTCCCTGGTCTGGTATTGTAAGGTGGGAAATAACCCATTTATTAGAGATACTCAACTTACAGTGTCCTGACAAACCTATGGTAGATTGAAATGCCTTGTCAAAAACCCACTTAACTACGCCTAACCTACATAACATCATAGCTCAGCCAAGCCCACCTTAAACGTGCAGAACACTTAGATTAGCCTACAGTTGTACAGAATCATCTAACACATAGCCTATTTTACTATAAAGTAAGTGTTAAATATCTCATATAATATGTACTGAATGCCAAACATGAAAAGAAAAAAGGATGGTTATATGGATACTCTTTTGTTGTATTGTAATAAAAAAATCATAGGTTGAACCATCAGTTTGGAGACCATATGTGCTTTGAATTCAATAATGAAATTAAAATGTAACATTAATTTACTTTATCCGTGGATGTACTTATAACAAGAGACAAATTTGATATCCAATATCAGCAAGTCTGTCTCACATTTGTAGTTTGTCTAGACAACATAATGAAATGTTCTTAACACAGGAGAATGATGCTAATAGACAATCCTTATTCAGTGAAGAAACATCAAAATGATTTAAACGTATGCATCCTTGCAGCATGCCAATGATGCCTGAGAAGTGCATTTATTTCAAGTAGATGACTAAAGGGTTCTTTCCAGAAACTTTAAAATTCTGAGGCACTGGTCAAATGTTCCATTCATTATTGGCTAAGGTGTTTGTGATCATTTTTTGGGCTTTTGGCTAAGATCAAGTATAGCTACAGTGATTATTTATTTCTAAATTTTGCCCTAGTTTGTGTGATTCTGAAGTTCAAAAATTATTCCTGGAGTTAAACTGGATTGTCTATGAAATGCCTATTTCATAGTTTACAAAGTGGTAGGAGAATCCTTTTATGTCTGTTTCTCTTACCAAAATATTCACAACTTCCAGGAAGATTTACATGTATTATATATAATATCTATATATCATTTATAGAATGCTTATGCTATATTTTATAAATTCTCATTTAAACGATAATCTCTTTCCTTGGTGTTAGAATAGATATCTATTTTCTGTTACATTATGAAAGTAATAAAATTTATCTTGAGTGACTTAAGGAATTAAATGTAATCCAAATGGCATACTTTTCTTGATATTCACATAATGCAAGTTGTTGATCAACAGAAAACTTTCCAAATTTTAACTAAAAAAATTCAATTTTGTAGATATTTAGGGTTGGCAGAGATTTCAGTGATTAACTCAAAGACTGCAAAGTCCAGAATCAGGCAGACGAGGTAATTGAGTGAAGCTGAATTTGAGTCATATTAAACACTGGCATGGTCTCCACTTCCCCACACACAAATAGGTGGGCCCAATATTGTCAAATCTTCCAATTTTTCCACACAAGTGCAAGTTTTTATATGAAATCTTCCAGTGTTTAAATGTTTCAAGAACTTTCTTGAGAATTTAACATCTGGGCAGTGCACAGGATTACACTGTGGGGCAATCACATATTCAAACACTGAGCAATCACTATGCCAGGCACTGTCCAGACCCTGAGAATGTAATGGTGAACATAACCAACTCCACTTTCCTGGAGCTTATAGTCTCCTCACAAGTTCTTGACCTGACATCCAATCCAACCTCCACCACTCACTATGGAAGTCCCCTCTGCACTGAGCTGGCAGGTGAGATTTCAGGTCCACCCCATGTACTTTCAGGGGGAGGACACTTGTCACCCAATAGTGCCATCCAGTTCATACCCCAGCTGCTCGTTTCTGCAGAAAGATCCTATGGAGAGCCCAGGTTTGCCTCTCCCCACTTCCATACTGGAAACTCCTCCAGGACAGGAAGTGGTTTGTTGTTGTTGTTTTCTTGTCTCTAAATCCCCAGAGTTTTTGCAAATATAGGCACTTCATAAATGTCAGCCCCAGTCTGTAATTTTCCTGTGGCTACAAAACGTCTCACTCCTCTTTCACATGATAGCCTTTAAATCTTTGAGAGCATCTCTTAAAATTGTGGCTAAAGAGCCCATTTCTCAACCATTGGAGTGGGTTTCCAGCCCTGCTACAACCTAGCAGGTTGGGTCTCTGGAGACCCCTGGGTCTGTGGGATCCTCACCTATGAAAGGAGACTCCAGAAATACAGCAAACACTTTGGAATTGAGCAAGATCATACTTTTTATTCAGGAACTGGAACTATTAGCAAGTGTGGCTCTGCAAACTCTGGGGTTCAAATCCAACCTTTACCACTTCCTGACTACCTGGAAGTTATTTATCTGCTCTGGGCCTCCATTTCCTCATCTGAAATGGAAATATTAGATTTACCTGATTGGCATGTTCATGAGAATTGAGCTATTAATAAAATGCTTAGAACAGTGCATGGCTCAGAGTTACCATCCAATGGATGCTACCTATTACTATTATAACTACTAATGTAGTCATTGAATGTCTCAAGAATGTGTGTCACTGTGTCACACTTTTGGCTCAAGCGAGGCTTTTACACAAAACTTACATTTAAGCCAAGCCTCCCATTTTATGATTATACAACTGACCATGGCATAGCACATTCTACACTTAACCTCTTCAATTTCACAGTGCTGTTTTCAGGGCCAGCTACATGCTCTTTTCAACTCAAAGTTTCCAATTCAACAGACGAGTTTTGTATCAGCTGCACTAAAAAGCATTGTTTCCTCCTTTGGTTTCTTAATGCATGGTGTTGTGGTAAGTGCTCGACAACTGAATGGTTGTCTTATATGAGAATTATATACTATAAAATACACACCACAAATAGTAATGTATTATTCTCTCACTTCTACATGTGGGTGGAGAAAGAACAGGATTTAGAATGGGAAGGTGCAAAAAGAGGAGGATCTGGGAAGTAGAAATCATCATGAAATACCAAAAGAAGTATCAAAAAGATACCTCCCTGAATAAGGTCTTGAAAATCAAGGACATCACCATGATCCTTATGATTTGGAAGCCCAGAACTGACTTCATTCATTAATTTAGCAAATATTTTTCAGTACCTACAATATGCAAAGCAACTGTACTAGAAAAAAATAGGGGTCCATTGATACATAAGATAGTCCCTATCCTCGAAGAGATAGTAAAGGAGGAAATAATTATGCAAATAAAAGGCAATAGTACAATGTCATCTGTGTGAGACAGATAAAAAGTAAATGCCACAAGAATGAGGGGTTACTTTTGATGGCCTTTGTGGTAGTTACTGATCCGATTCTTTTCCTCTTCCCTATAAACATCTTTGCAAGGTAATGTTGCATTTCCCTCACTCTGAACAGGGCATGTTTACCTATCTTCTTCACCTTGAGCTTACTTTAGACATGTCTTAGACAGTATATGAGCCTGCAATCAGTGTGCCAGTTCCATAGGCCTAAAGAGGCCTTCTCTATTTCCATTTCTATCCATAGGAAGATCATGGTCCATACTATATAGAGGCAACAATCAACAGATTGTTCAGCTTATAGGTCTAGTTTCCATAATAAACCAACCCCTTATTCTACTTCATTCACAGCAGCTCCACTTCTGTACTAAATCCTAATTCTAAACTTCGTGGCTGGAAGGCTGGGGAATTTTATAGCTCAGTGGTAAAGCACTTTCTACCTAGCTTGAAGCCCTGAGTTCAATCCCCAGCACTACAAAAACAGTAAAATTGGTGCTGCCATAACAAAAACCTGAAACACATAGCATTCATTTGGGGATCAAGCAACAGATGGATGCTAGCAGGACATTAAGGAGACTGTCAGTGAAACCTAAAAGGCCTCACAGACGGTGTTCAAGGCTGTCAATGAAGATTAAAGGAGAGAAGATGTTATTGGAAGCTGGAAGCAAGAGATCCTTTTAAAGGAGTAAAGTTCAGCAAAACTGTTTTCTGTGGTACCATGGAAAATACAAAATGTGCCTAATGAATTTGAGGATCTAGCTAAGATTTCCAGGCAGCACTAAGTCAGGTGCCACTGGGCTTTTTCTGTCTAAAACAAAGAGAGACATAATACAAGGAATTTGGAGGAAGTACGAAGGCTCAGAGAAGCTAAGTGTTCTCATATTGAGATATGGCTGCCAGGCAGACCAAATACAAAGTGGAGCAAGAACAATCTTTGGTCAAGTTCTCAGAAAGATGGTGGTGCCTCTGAAGACATTTCAGACAATGGTCCTCCATGGTTCTTAAAGGAATGCTTTATAGAACCTGCCCAAGGTTTCTTACAATCTTAAAATGATGTCACTTATCGCCTCACAGGGAGCCCAACATAGAAAAAGTCCTGTCTGATGGGTGGCTTTTATGTAATAGAATGGATTATAGAGTAATACGTAAGTCCACAGGTTTATGTAAAAAAAAAAAAGAAAAGAAAAGAAAAAGGATTATAACACCTTGGGTAGGGAGGGTTTAAGAGGCCTCTGATCCTCAAATTTCTATGAGCAGACAGTAGGCTGAGGAAACTACATGGCTACAAAAATGGGCAACCTCTATGGAAAAGGAAGATTCAGAGGGCAGGGTCAAGTGCCCGGAAGGGTAACCACCCAAAGAATGCTTCAGCCCTAGTCAAAGAAGGGCCACATGAAAATGGCCGGACTTTCAGAATTGCTATGGACAAGTGATTGGTATATGGCTTTCATTTTCCCTTTTCAATGATGACTAGAATAGTGACATTATGCCTAATGTGTTAGTCTCTGGAGTGAGCAGTTAACTTCTTAAGTTCACAGATCTTCTGACAGCAGAATGGAACTTTACCTAAGCAAGGTCATCCACACCCGGACCAGATTATAGATGATGAACTCCTGGACTCTGACCTATTACAATGGGACATGAATTGGAGGTCCTGGGAAAGGGCATGAATTATTGAGACCAGATGGTAGACTGAGAAGATTGCAATATTCTTACCTGGTGTTCATTTTAAGATGTGACTAGTTAAGTTCTACATTCTCACCTTTGGATAAGCAGGTTTAGACTGAAATGATGCTAAACTTCAGGGTGGGTTATATGTAAAAGGCAATGCAACTTTGGGTGTGCTGTCTGTAAACATGTAGTCAAAAAGTACTGATTACTTTAAGTGCACCATGCTGTGGGAAAGCTCAAAGATTTACACAAAATCCTTAAACAACATGGAGTGACAAGTCCTATCAGGCCCCAGTTCCTCTGGCACTCCACTCAGCATCTAACTGCAAATCTAAGAGACCCATACCCAACTCACTCAGCAGAATCCCTAATTTCTTACTCACAGCTAACAGATGACTATTTTTGTTGTTGCTGTTTTGCAGTACTGAGGTTTGAACTCAGGGCCTACACCTTGAGCCACTACACCAACCCTTTTTTGTGATGGGTTTTTTTCAAGATAGGGTATCCCAAACTATTTGCCTGGGCTGGCCTCAAACCAAAGTCCTTCTGATCTCTGCCTCCTAAGTAACTAGGATTATAGGAATGAGTCATTGGCACCTGGCTCATGACAAGTGTTTTTACGACAGGCTCTATATTCCAAGATGGCCTCAAACTCACCATCTTCCCACCTTTACTAGAATTATACATGTGTGCTACCACACCCAGCTGTGTTGGTGGAATGACTCAGCAATATTTTTTGCCAGGAGAAACAATTTCAATTCACCTAACCAAAAGCAAACCTCAGGTCAATAATGAAATCATACCTAATTTTCGCACTTGCAATCTAGGCACCCTACCAATTGAGCCATGCCTCCAGCATAACTAATTTTTGTTCTGGAATTTGCAAATTTGGGGAAATGGCTATAGGTCTGGATCTTGAATGTCCCCTAAAGACCTTGTGCTAAAAGTACGGTAGGTCCTCAGAGTGGACTATCGGGAGGTGGTGGAATCTTTTTGAGTTGGGGCCTGCCTGGAAATCCTTAGGTCACTGGAAGAGTGCCCTTGAAGAAGGTTGTAGGACAATAACCCATTCTTCTTTCTCTTTGCTCCCTTAGTAATGTAAGCAGTTTTGCCTAGCCATGCACTCTCCGCCATGATCTGTCTCACCACAGACATAAAACCACAGGGACCAACTGATCATGAACTGAAATCTCTTAAAACAAAATAACCTTTTCTTTTATTGATTTTGTTATAATAATAATAATAATAAAAAGCTAACACAATGACCATTTGTCTAAGGTAGCCATTTACTATATACTGATTTATCCACATGAATCGTATTTATTTTCTATCCTTACAAAACATCACTTACCACTGTACTTATAAATTAACAAATTGCAAATAAAACGAAGATGAGAGCTGATGCATATTCCTTTATATTTTATTTACCATAAACTAAGACAATATAGTAAATAACCAGAGAAAGGCTTAATAGTTTGATGCAAAGCTAAACACTGAGATATTATGCTTGCTCCCCCCACCCTCCCCAATTCAACATGCAGGTATCATTTATCTTCATATATACTGATTCTAAAGCATCACAGTATTGATAGTTTTATAAGCATCTTTGTCCTATTACTTAAACAATTTCAAACTGCACACAATTATGGCATAATACCATCATTCAGAATCCCAAGGCCAGTACATTTACACAATACTTAAACACTGCAATCTGTGTTTTTAAAGCATCATAAGTCAAACCACAAAAACCCAGGATTTAGTTTTAAATGTGTTTATGAAGACTGCATCTGAGCTCAAAGCATGCAGGTGTTCGTGACCACCTAGATGAAGCTGGATAGTGAATTTCTTCAGTAGGTCCAATGATGTAATTTTTCACTCATCCCAAGTATCTCCATATTTGTTTACTTTTACTAGGAAAAAAGCACAAATAATTGATGATTCCAAACAGTAAAGTAAAACACACTATCTTAAGTTTGTTATGATGATGAAGTTATGTTTCTCATTTAAAGCACACGAGTCAAACTGTAATTGCTTTAAAAAGGGGCTGGTCACATTTTTGTGAACTAGACTTTTGTGTTCATAACTGCAAATGTCCTGTATCAAGAATCTTACATAAATACTTGACTTTTATAAGGTAAACACAATCTACATCTTAATGATCAGAAAGCAGATTAGTAACTTGCCCAAGGTACAAGCCTTAACAAGCAGAACTGAGATTTGAAGCAGGTCTGTTTAGGTCCACAGCCTGGATGCCTTTACAACTTTATCACTACCTAATAAAGAAGTGTGGCATCTATGATAGCATATAGCAAAACAAGAAATAAAACTCACAATAAATTTGGGTTTTTCACAAAACATAGCAAGAGAAATGGTCAAATTATTATGGTTGTACTTATTTCAATCTTCTCTCCAACAAGCCGTCCACACAAGAAGTAAAAGGTTTCCAACATTCTGGCATTTTATAAGAAATTAAATTTTGGAACATGTTCCTTTTATTTATTTTATTATTTTTTTTCCAGTGCTAGGGATGGACCCCAGGGCCTCCTGAATGCTAAGCAAGCATGCAAGCATTTTACCATCCCCAGCCCTCCTCTGTCTTCTCTACTCATTTTACCTTCTCTTCTACATAGCTAATGATTCCAAACAATAAAGTAAAAAAACACTATCTTAAGGTTTGTTTCTCATTTGCAATTATAATTATAAAAGGGGTTTCCATCTGTGAATTAGTAACTTTTCAGAAAACCCAAGTAATTATAACAATGCAAAGAAGCAATTATCACAGTATGGATCCTATGAAGTCAAAACTATTCCACTATTTTACTAATAAGATATCATTTGTACCTTTCCCCTCACATTTTTATTATTCACCTTGCTTTCATCACCTCATAACTATGGCAGTTTTCTAGAAGTCATAGAATTTGTACCAACACTGCTCTGACAGCTAATAGATTATGTGGTTCTATTTTTAAAATTTGTTTTAATTTCTAATAGGATAAATACCAATAAACATAATCCACATAAACTAAAGGTGAACACCTTACCTGATACTTTTCAGATCTTGTGAATCAATCTATACTGCACTAATGTCACATTTTCTGCCTAGATTCAAGAACTTTTAGAAAATCACTAAAACTACTTCACAAGTCTTTCCATTAAATTATATAAAGCACAAAAAAAATCAGTTTCTTATACAAAGAAAAAGTTCATACTTTACATTACTGTGTAGGATAAGAGAATTTTAAAACTATTCAGTTAAAACCACGAATGCTAAAATCCAGCAAATGCTAAAGGTCCACCGTATTTCTTTTTCTTACTCCTTATTATTGCACTATTTGTTCTCACTCAAATACTCTATTTTTTGATACATCAGTGCAAAATACTATGCTGTGGAGATAGACAACAGAAAAGATAACAAAAATGAGAAAAATATTACTTCCTGCCCTCATGGAGCTTACAGTCTAAATCCTCAGATTAATTAACAACACAAAATACTACTAAGTCTGCACATATTACACAGTAATGACCACTAGATGCAAAGTTTATGCTAAATGTTTTCTAATGACAAACATCAACAAGGATTATAGACTACAAACATTTCAAAGGTAGATTTTTTAAACAAAATTATTATATTGGTATTATTATTATTATAAAAGCAATTCCTAATGAAGCAATCACATAATTATTAGAAATAGAACTCTGTAAAAACTGTAACTAATAGCAAACACTAACGATTTTTATTATTTTTGCATTCTTTATGACCGATTCCTGTGTCTGTGAATTTTAAAAACAATTTGGCTGCAATGTTAGGGACTGAACCCAGGACCTTGACAGATGCGTGGTGAGCACTCTATGCTGAACTATCTATTCAATCCCTTCCTCTCGATTTTTAAATTAGTAAACAGAAACAATGACATATCCACTGGGATTCCTTAAGAAAGAAATTATAAAATCCTATACTGAAATAGGTATAAAACCTATTCAAATGTCCTCTTCCTTTAGAGGTAAGCTTCTGCCCTCAAATTTTACTTTGGGTAATAATGGCTATTCCAAAAAGACCTTAAAATGAAACCATGATTTGGTATGGGAGAGTAGCTCAGGTGGGAGAAGGCCTTATAGCAAGTATGAGGCCCTGAATTCAAACCCCAGTACCACCAAACTAAAATAAGTAAGAAAAAAGAAATCATGATTTTTAAAAAATATTTATTATCAATTATGAAGAACAAAAATACTGTTTTAAAAGTCAAATTCCTCTTCTGAAAATGCCCTAAAAGCTGGTTTATAAGGCACATAACTCTCAATTGCACAAACATAAAAGAAAGGCAATCTCATTAATCATGACTCCATTGTTCAGCCAAAAGTGCCATTACAATCCAACAACCATCCTCAGATAACTATATCTGGCCATACAAGTGATGGCTCCATTAGGAAAAAGACATCAATTCCCAAGGCAACTTCTTTAAAGGAAAAAAAAAAAAAAAAAAAAATTCAATCGAGTGCATAATTTCTACATTGTACTACAAAAATTAGTCTAACACAAAATGGCCTTTGGAATGCCTTAAAAATGAAAAGGAATAACTATCAAATTAACTATTCTTTAAAAAAAATTATCTTGGTAAATTGCTTGAAGAATTAAATCACATACTAATATAATTAATATTTTAAACTAATGTTTCAGTTTCCAATCCTAAGGAGTTAGGTGATTCAGACTAAACTATCATACCTTCTTTTTTTGGCACTCTTTCCTGCATAGGCCTGACTGAAGGGTCAGGCTTTTGTGTTAAAGTTACTTCATATGACTCTCTGTTCTTATTCCTTAATTCCTCATATGTAACATTTTTTCTTTTGGGACTTTCTTCAAGGTTGGGATCAGGTCCTAAAACAACAAACAGTTAATAAGTGGTGATAAAAGGATTTGGATAAATCCAAAGCGACTAAATTTTGCAACTGTTTCCTACCTACCATTAAAACAATAAAGTTAAATGAAGGATCAAATTATTACCACCATTTCAAAGGTACTATAACTTTCTACAGTGATTATAAAACTAAAATCTATTCCCCCTTATGCTTTTACACTTTTTATTTCTAAAATTTAGAATCAACACCATTATTTTTAAAAACTAAATCATGGCAGAAAAAAGGGTGGGTATCATAGATGGTACTTAACAATACAATTTAAACTCATTAAAATGCTAGTGTTTTAAACTGAAAACTTATTCATACCATGTATGGTATTAAAGAGGAATATGCTACTGATAACACCTAAACAAAACTTGACACTGCATATACTTTACTAATATTTTCATGGTAAATGTTCCAATAATCACAGACTACATATAAACAACTTCAGTTACTTAAAAAATTAGTTTACCATTTTCATGGTACTTAAAACAAAAAAATACTTGAAATAGTTACTGCAAAGTATAAAACAAAGCCGTTAACAGAATAGGCATTGTTTTCACTCTCCTCTAACAAATACAATACTGAGACAGGAAGTATCAACTATTCAGCCTGGGAATACACACTTTTTCTTTGTATCTTCCAAAGAAAGTCTAAGAATAAACAATTTATATTATCAAGAGTCAAATACTGAAAAAAACAGCAAACTCATATTAACTGACAGATCAAATATTGAGCAGTTTATAACATGTATAAATAGCAAAAAAAAAAAGAAAGAAAACAGGCCATATAAACATTTTAAGAGAAATTAACTAGTGTTAACATTCAGTGAACAACTACTTACAAAGTCTTATACACCACACCAAAAGTATTTTATAGTAAAGTAAATTGGGGATGCCAATTTAATAATACCATATTAAAATTTAAATTAACAACTTTTCAACCCTAATATTTTGTTAATGTACACTACAATGACACAAAGCAAAAAGAATTTAAGTATCTCCTAACTGGTTTTAATAACATGCATAAAAGAAAGAATATAAAGAAAAAATATTATAATCTTATACTGTGTTTAGAACACTTCACTGCATTAGTAACAAGTAACTGCTGAATCCATGTCCTTTCACCACAGAAAGAAGATAATGTGTGTTGTCTGTTGACAATCAGTGAATTTCCTTGGGCAAATCACTAAGCTTCTCTGAATCTTAGTTTTGCCAATTGTAAAAACAGTAGTTTGACTAGATGATCTCTAGAGTTCCTTCCAGGTCTAAGATTTATTTCTTATCCAAAAGAAGAGTATTTTATTGTTCTAAAATTCTCTGATGAATGAAAACATATATCAGACAGAAGATTAGGGAAAAGTTTTTCCACTTACAAAGGTAAATTAATATCCTGCATTTTTTAGTGAATACGACTTATTGCTTTGGGAAGATTGTAAAGAGCTGGAAGGAATAAGAAAATATAATAAACTACCTATGATAAGTCTTCTAATAGAGATGATGGAGAGCTTCTACTTAAAAGATTAATAACTCTTTGGACTCCTGGTAAAAGGAAGCAGAACTAAAGCAAACAGGACTTAAGCAAAAGGAGAAAGTGCCCCACCCAGAAAGGGAGGACAGCATCTGGGGTAAAGCAAAGGAATCCAGTGTGGTCCATGTCAAAAGCAGTGAAAAAAATGGCAAGTTTAATTTATAGAAGGGGACAAAACCCAGAAGTGAACAGATGGATGGCTGCTGTGGAGAGCACTAACATATCAAACATGGGTCATATTGTTGCCTGCGGGTAGACACCAAAGGAATTTTTTAGCTTACTTTATGTGGAAAGGAAATTTTATAACATGAAATTTCCTAATGATAATGACAGGAAGGATGCAAGTCATTACAAGGAAAGGGTTGGTGCATGTCCAGAATATAGGAAGAATGGATGTGAATTTGAGACTGAAAAAAATGAAGATGTGAGGGACAAGGCTGGCTTCCTTTGGAGATAAGATAGTGATTTTAACCACTCTCCATATCTCCCCTACCCCAATTCCCATTTTAATTTGACAATGTCTTTGCTTCCAACCATTATTATGTGGAGGGAGAGATGAGGATTAACAGACTCTCAGCAACTTTCATTCAAACTCAAATCTATTTAATCTGAACTTCCATTCGCTCATCTCTTCTTTTTTCATAATCATTCTCTACCCCAACTTGCACAAACATGCTCAGGAAAATTTTTTGCACTGGGAACGGTCTACACTGGCACTATACAACACAGAACATGTGACTGCTGAATAACTGAAATGCTACTATCAAAGTTGAGAAATTGTATTTTACATTTTACTTTAAAACAAACAAAAAAACCCAAACCCCAACTGTTTCTTTAGCCTTGTTTGTTCCAGTTACTGGCTTACTGAATTTACTTCAAAGCAAGCGTTTTCAAAGACTATTAGACAGAGGTCCACAATCCCTTATCCAAACCCTCAGAGTTAAGCATATCTCACAATTCAGTTTCTCAGATTTTAGAAAAATAATACAGTATATATATTGTTTTTTTAGCCATCCAATTAGAGGCTCAGGGCAGGAATGCATAGTAAGTAGACATATTAAATGGTTCTACAACAAAATATGGGGAAATTATTTTAAGTACAGTAAATAAAGGTCATGTTAGATAACTTGTTAGTTTAGGTCAGGGTTTGCTACCAAATGAGTTCAGGCCACAATTAAAGTTTCTGGTTTTCAAGACCTTCGGGGTTTGAGGATTTTAAATAAGTTGTTATAGACCTATACATCTTTTCTTAAAACTCCCCACCTTTCACTACGGCCTAGACTGGAAAAAGAAAGGAAGCTAACATTTGTTTGAGAGTTTATTACTTGCCAGGAACTGCATCTCATTATTTCATCTAATTCCAACAGTTCTTTGAAAAGTTATTACCTCCGTTCAAGTCATCAGGAAACTGAGGAATTATAGATTTGGGTTTTACTGTGAGTATAATTACAAGGCCACATAGCTACCATATGTCAATCATGATTCAAATCCAACCCTTAATCCAAAGTTGGTATTTCACTTACTTGTGCAACCTTCAAAGTTAGTACTTACACAAACTTCACAATGCATTTTCACATGGATTGCTGAATTGACAACAGTTCCATAAAGTATTCTTTTTTCACATTACAGACAAGGAAGCTGAAAGCTTTAAGACCAGTCTATCAATTAAAACTTTCACCTTCCTAAAGCCTCTACTTCCTGAGGTACAACTTATTACTTCTATTCCACTAAATTTGTGTATTTTGTAACTTATCCTTGTATTTCTGTATCTTCCAAAAGACTGAGAGTTTCCAAAGGACAAGAACTAAGTCTCATTCATTTTTACTTCTTTCATACCTAACAAGACTGCCTGATACCTACTGGTCTTCAATGAATGTTGAACAAATAAAGAAATGAATAAATGAAAGGAACAAACAAGCTCGGTTAAGGTGATGGATGGGTTTAAGTAGATGGCTGATGGAAGAATACACAGGTGATATCCAGCAGAAAAGGTCATCAAATAAAGTTTATACATACGTTGGACCATAAAATGCTGAAATTCATTTCAAGAGAAGTTTCTACCTTGGGCAATATGATCAGTAATACCAGTGGGAGTGGATTCATTCATAGAAGCACTGAATGGAATTGGCTCATAACGAGGAAGCATGTCCTTTTCTATGTTGTCTGCTGCTGGGGAAGTCACAAAAGAGGACTGACCACTCACATTTGAGTCATATTTTGACTTTTGAGAATAGTACCTATAAAAGAATATACAAGAAATGTAAGTCATTGCCTTAAAATGTTAAGGTACGAAAGCAAGTTAGCAAAATAAAATAACCACAATTTTTAATAGTTATTTATAAATAAGCAATAAAACGAAGTCTGTCTCTGCCACAAAGCGCATTAAAAAATGTCTTGGCCCACTTAATTTTTAAGTCATCCAATACAAGAAAATAGAAACATATATCTAATTTTCTAAATATTTGGCTTTGGAGAAAACTTTAATATAAGTTAAATTTCTTAGTACTTTGACACAATAAACATGTCCATTTCACACATCAGTGGGGAAGTTACTTCCACAACTAGACATCTATATAAGCACTAACTTGCTAAAGCAGATACAGGTGATACTATCTCTCATGAGGTTTACATTGCTTGCCACAATGATATAATTTTTCTATCAATCTACTTAAATGACTTTAGTACTTACTTACCTACTTATCTAGACAAATTCATTTATACATACTACACAATACAATAACTAAACCACAGTCTGAAGAAAACCAGTAACATCAGACATCAGACACTGTTTACTGGACTTAAAAGGCTGAAAATTTTAAACATGTGAAAACAAGAGCCTCACTATATAGGCCAGGCTGGCCTCTAACTCTTGCTTTTCCTGTCTCAACTTCTGAAGTGCTGCGAGTACACACTGCACCACCACTTCAGGCTAACATATAAACATTTCTTTTTTTCAAGTGTTCGTTTTTATTTCATTTACAAGTAATGGGACCACAGAAAGTTTGGAATGGGGGTGGAAACCCGTATTTCATAACCAGTATCATTATCTACTTCCAATAAGTACAGACTTTTCTTTTAAGAGAGATAGTTTTATCTATATATTTTACACTCTACCTTTTCAGTATCAAAAGTATTTCATCAGGATGCTTCACAGACTTCATAATCATAGTTTTAAGTAACTTCATAATGCCCACTAATAGTACAGCCTAGTTTAACTATTCATTCCCTTTTACTGGAAATTAAGCTGATTCAAGTTTTTCTTTCTTTTTTGGACAGGGTTTGACATTTTTGTCTGGGCTGGCTTCAGACAGTGATCCTCCTGGACACTGAGTAGGATTATTGATCAACCTGGCCCCAGTTTTTCTATTTATTAAAGTCAAGTTGTTAGGCTAGGAGTACAGCTCAATGATAGTGTGCCTACTTAGCACGTGCAAAGCCCTGAATTCAACCTCCAGTACCACAAAAAAATTAATCCAATAAAAACAAAATATCTACAAAGTAACAGGCTACTTGAAGATCTGGGTATGGTGGTACATGCCTATAATCCAGCACTTGGGAGACTAAAGCAGGAGGATCACAACTTTGAAACAAGCCTAGTTAAATAGTTAGGCCCTGTCTCAAAAGATATGTAATAATAAATAAATTAATAAAGAGCAAAGTTCTAAATAATTTTGTAAAAGCAAAGTTCTAAATAATTTTGTGCCTACAGTCTTCATTTTGATCTTACCACATCACTTTTTAAATTACTTAAATAAGAACTAACTCTGAAAGACAGGCATGGTGGTACATGCCTGTTAATCGCAGCACTCAGGAGGCTGAAGATCTCAAATTCAAGAACAAAGAAATAGCCTATCTCTAAAAAACAAAAAACTATGATTCCTAGTATGAAGCCAGAATACTGAAACAAACAATGTACTATATATCTCAGAGACAATTAAATAAGACAAACATTTTCTGCTTAGTTCATTTTCTTATTGAAACACTGGAATTAAAAAAAAAAAACTGAAATCTGTTAAGAGGATTGATAAAACTTGGAAATTCAAAAGAAAAGTCCAAAATACATGTGTTGTATGTATGTGTTTGCCAAACTGAATCAAGATAAAACCCTTCATTCTGGGACATGCAGTCCCAATAGGATGAAACTGTTAATGGGAACAGTGACAGCCAAGTAGTCTTGCTCCATTTTTTTTAATACAAATTACCTTTAGCCTACAGCAAATGGCAAGTTTCCAATGGTCCTTCAGTTAGGCAATGAATGTTGATGTACTGAATCAATCATGACACTACCTAGTTGTTTCTTTTATAAAAATTAAAAACCTTCAGTGAGGATCAGAATCTGGCCTACCCAGGTGGTGAAGACCGTCGTGCTTGTCCCGATCGTAAAGCTTCTCCAAGAGGGGAGTTTTCGAGATTCTTGAACTTCTCTTGGCAAGTTTTCACGTAAGAAAGCTTTCCAGCAAAGTATCCCATGATACAAGCAACTTATTTGTAAAAATCAAACAAACAAAAAAAAAGTGTCTTAATATAACTTTTAAACAAAAATCTCTTCTAAAAATACCCTTTTAAAAAGGATAATTCTAAATATCTCTTAGGTTTATAAAAGATTGAGATTTCCTAACATAATAGTAAAAGTACATTTAAGTCAGGCTCAGAGTTCATGGACTTTATAGATATGTTTCATTTTTCCCAAAGAAAGTAAGTCAAGATAAAACTGTCTAACATAAAGCAAACTGAATACACTACTTAGTTAATGTAGACAGGAAGATGTGGTAAATGGAAAGAATGGATGAGGGACTGAAACATTAGTGTTCTAGCTTAGTCACAGGATTTAGGTTATTTATTTTCGTGTAAAATGGGAATCACACTCGGTGCTGGCCAATTTCACAAGATTGCTTTAAAAATAAAACTAGGTGCAACAAATCTCTTAAAATAATGAATTAAGAAGTCTAACTAAAAGTAGCAACTATTCCATCATGTACCTATTTCCAATACAAAAGAGGGGTTAGCCTGAAGATTCATGAAAAGCCTCAGACACACTTTTAAAAGAGCAATTAAGCTTTTTTATATTAGCCATATTTCAAGATGTAAATTAAATAAAAAACTAAGCTTAATTCTAAATGTATTTATTTGGATTAATCATTTTCCTTCCTCATAGAAAAGAATTTATTTTCAAATATTAAGAACTTACAAAGAAGTTTCAATTTAGCAATTACATTACACTATAAAAGAGAGGTACAGCCTTTCAAGTAACTCATGATTTTTTTATGCTAACAATAAAATCTCCAAGTAGTCTACTTAACGAAAAGCTTAAACTCATCTGTCAAAGCATACAACCACATGACTAACATGAATAATTCAAAACATTGATAAAAACCAATGATCTAGATGAAAAATGTAAGAAAAATACAATGTTGTTCACACTTACATATAAGTTTAGGGATGGAACCATATTTTGGGTGACTTGAAAGGATTCCTAAAAAAATAAAGGGTTTTAAGTTAACATCAGCTCTTTTTTGATCCTAAGCTACTTAAAAGAATCAAGTGGATTTCGTATTAATACCAACAATTTCTTAAAAATCTAAAAAGACAATACAAACCATAAGAAAGGTGAATATCGAAAGATCAGGTGTACAGTCAATAGACAAAAAGATAAATAAAAAACTGTAAATGCCGAGAACAAAACAATCGTGCCTAAAAGGATTCCATTTTTATGGCATAAAAAGCTACCCAAGACCCAGAAACAAATCTAATGGAACAGATCTAATCTACACTGAAAGCTACAAAACTTATTAAGGACTGAAAGCTAAACACAACAATTAAATATTACAAAAATGACAATTCTCCATAAATTCAAATCAAAGTAAGGTTTTGCTTATTCTAGCAATCATTACAAACACCAAGAGCCGAGGCAATAATGCAGATTATGGAAGAAACTAGAGAACTGACTACCACCAATCAGCAATAGTAACAAAGACAGTTTTATGTAAGTGCAATAATAAGTAAACTGATCAAAACTAGAGTCCAGAAATGGACCCATATACATAAAGACAAAGGCAACACTGCAATAAACCAAAAAAGTCATTTCAAAATATAGTACAGGACCAATTACATATCCATAAGGGAGGAAAATAGACCTTGATCTTACCTCACACTATATTCAATTCCTTACAGCTTGAAAATCTAAGTATGAAAGATTTAAAAAAAGAAAAAAAAAAGCTTATAGAAGAAAGTGTAAGAGACCAACTTCGTATCCTCCGAGTAAACAAAAATCTTCGGAAGACCACAAAAAAGCAATCATTATGAAGGAAAACAAATCAGATGAAGTGAACTCTGTAACATTAATCAGTGGGGAAAAATAATCACAACATATATGTATTTCTAAAAAAGGACTCACTTTCAGCATATACATAGAATTCCAAAAAGACAATCTAATAAAAAATGGACAACAGACTCGAACAGATACTTTCCAAAAAGGATACAGTCAAGTAAGAATACAAACAAAAGAAAAGGTCCTCAACTTCATTAGTCATAGGGAGATGCAAATGAAAATCACAATGCAACCAGTACAAGAACTCATTTACCAATGGCTGAAATATAAGACACAAAAATAGCTAGTGTTGGTGAAAATATAGGAGAAATACTCCCAACAGTATAAAGTACTACCTATTAAAGCTGAATATACTCGTAATCTGTGACGCAGCAAAATATCTACCAAGAAATACTTCATTTATGGCAAAACTTACTGCAACAGTAGTCAAACTGAACCTACCTAATTGTTAGTAATGAATAAACTATGGTATATTCACACAGCAAAAACTGCATAGCAATGAGATATATAATCTACAATTGCATGCAACAATGAGGATGAATCCAGAGGTGTGTTAATAAACCAGTTTTCCACAATAAAAGCCTAAATTTTAATGTCTGTAAATTTCCACGATGTAAAGCTACTAAAGGGTTTTGACTTCTCAAGCTCCTAAAACTTTAAGTCAGTTCTCAAGATCCAGTATGAAACAGTTCCAACATACCGCTAATGAAACTCACAAGTAATGTTCAAAGAACCACCAAAAAAGGAATAATGAACTACAGAATTTTATATGAAGTACAGAAACAGAACATCTATAATGTTAGCCTCTTTTATACCAGTGTGACAATGAAGACGAAAAAAAGGAGAATGATAAAGAGTATCTGCACTTATACACTAAAAAGTTGTTCATTCTGTCACCTACTAGTTATAGACCACTGATAACATAAAAGCACTATATACTACGAAGTAGGGATCTATCAGTAAACAAGACACTCTCTTTATACTCATGGATTTATACCTAATAAAATAAACAAGAAATTTGTCTACCAAGGGGCTGGAGAAATAGCCCCTTGATAGAGCAACTGCTCTGTGTCAGACACTGGGTTCGATCCTGAACACAGCAACAATAACAACCAACCATACACATTTTTGCTGGACATGGTAGTGCTCACCTCTAATCTCAGCACTTGGGAGGCTGAGGCAGGAGGTTCCCACATATGAAGACAGCCTGGGTTACAAAGTAAAACCCTGGCTCAAAATATAAAAAATTAAAGAATAAAAAAATCAGTACAGCATGATGGCTTCCGTTCAACCACTCAAATATTTGAGATCTACTATGTATATTATAAATACCCTCTGACAGGTGCTAGGAGTTGCTCATTTTCCTAAGAGGAAGTAGCAAGAATGAAGGCAAAAAGACTTGAAGGCCAATATGATGTTCCTTGCAAAATAAAGGTTCATTAATTATAGTGGCAGTGCAGGTCGGGGTAGACAGTTTACAGAAAAATCTTACAAACTGGAATATGGGACATTAATAGGGCAAGGCAGATAAGGAATAGAAGTGATGGATAAATACCCTTGTTTCCTGCATGGTAGTAATGCAATTTAGATATGTGGGGAAAGGAAGAAATAATTTGGGGGGAAAATGAGTTCGGTTTGAGGAGCCTGGACAGAGGACATCCACGTGGAGACATTCAGAATATAATATAGCAGGTATCTAGGCTAGAGATATGGGGATTTAGCTGCAACACAATGCCACTGAAGCCCACATCAGTGCTAGGTAGAAAGACATAGACTTGGGCTGGGAGTGTAGGTCAATGGTAAGCACACGCTTAGCCATGCAGCAAGCCCTGAGTTTAATAATGTTCAGCTCAAAAAAAAAAAAAGAGGAGGAGGGGGAGTGGACAAGGGTTGAAAAAAGAAATACAGACTAACAGCCAACAAGCAAAGCAGGACTCTGAAGAACACCAACATTTCTAACACTAGAGGAAAAAGAAAACCCATACAAGAGAACGTGAGCACCAAGAAATCATGAATTTTTATCTGTTAGTGCTACATACTGTAAAGTACATAGCAGTACATACTGCTCATGTATAACAGACACTAAAAAGAAAAAAAATGAAAAAATGGAGAACCTAACCCAGGTAGAATAAAAATTGTAAAAGCATACCATCTAATGTAGCCAAAAAATGATAAAATCCATGGCTTATCTATGAACAGACTGCACACTAAGCCATCACATTGCCACTGAGCCCATAAGCTCCATTCCCAGCCCATCATGTCAGCCTCCTGCATGCTCCTCCCAACAGTCATGCTTATTGTTCTCATCACCAGGTCCCTCCTTCCATATCTAAAACCTGCTTCATTTTAATCTAAATCCTGTTCATCCTTCAAAATCCCATTTTCTACAAAGATCTTTCTTCTTTGAACACCTACATCTGAGTCTCTATTTCACAATTTAGTAGCTTATTAAGTACTTAAGTTTTCTATTTGCTTCAATGCATGTTCACATGGTCTCTTCAAATGAACTACTACAAACCCCTCCCCACTGTCTAGCTCTAATCATTAATTAAGTGATCCCTGGATTATAGTAAGATAAAACAGGGAGAAAAGCAGACACTATAATTCCTCCATTGTTAACTCCCTATGCCAGTTTTTCCTTCAAAGTGATGTGGTTAAACTACTGGGTTTATTTTTATAATGCAGAGCCAATCAACTGAATGAAACAACTTAGTTTCAAGGGACATGTAAGTATAAATATATCTTGAGTTGTTTCCATATTTAAGATTCCTGTCATGCAATACATTGTGTTGAGGTTCTTTAGATAAAATTTTACCTCTCATTTACCTCCAAAACTAGTTTGTTGTGCTAGAGACTAAACCCAGGTCTTTACACACACTACACAAGCCTCTAGCCCCAGGCCAACAAGTACTTCTAATAACTAGTTTTTATCAAGAACACTGTCTATGTACTTCACATTGCTAACATGAAAAAGCTAAAATGTCCTATCATTGTCACCTTTTCAGAGGAATTAATTAGAAAAATGATTTTGTGTCTGGGTCATCCTAAAAAGGGGTCACCACCCCTTTTTGGGACCCTTCCCAGAATTAGGATACACAAGCAGAAATCTCACAAAGTAAATCCAACAGTAACTCTACTGCTTGTTTCACTAAAATTTAAAGTGCAAAGACTGATACATTCATTTTTATTTTTTACTTTACTCTACCACTTGAGCCACACCTTCAGTCTGTTTTGCTCTGCTTATTTTGGAGATGGGGGGTCTTGCAAACTATTTGCCCTGGCTGGCCTTGAACCATGATCCTCCTAATCTCAACCTCCCAATAGCTAGGATCACAGCCATGAGCCACCAGCGTCTGGCAAGAGATACCCTTAGTACTTAATCTAAACTCAATTCCACAGGAAATACTCTGTATTATTTTAGCTAACAGAATTTAGTCTCTTTGGAGACTTTGTTAAATAGATTACCTACCAGACCCCTGAGATTCTAATTTTTCTAAAAAGAAAATGTTAATGATGTTATGTGCAAGAGAACAAATTCTCAAATCAAGATGATCAAGTCAGTGAGCCCATGGAGACAAAACTCTCCTGATATGACATAAATTCATAAATGATCAGTGATAATTTAGCTTTATAAACTACATTATCATCTTTCCTTATTTAAAAATCAGGAAAGTAACATAAAACAAACATGATGTCCAAAATGCTAAATAAATTCAAAGTTCAAATATTTACCTTTACTAATTAATCCTTGAGTAATCAACATACTTGTGGCAGCCAAAGGCACAGCTATAAAAGGAAAAAGAACTTATCATTATCAACAAAAGGACATGATTTTGTCTTGAGTTCATTAGGAGATAAATGAGTATCAGTAAAACCATCTAGAAGTAGAATGCTTAACTAAAATCTTTAAGAGATTATCTTTCACAGCTGTACTACATACACAGGAGCCTTTAAGAAAACTTTACATAACATTAAGAAAAATAATTCAAGAACCATCTAATTTAGATTCTAAAATTAGTTAATATAACCAATATAACAAGTAAAAGTGACTAAAAGTTACTTCTGAAGTTAAGGGGGAAATAAAGAGACTCAAAGAGAAGCAAATTATAAATTAGAAAGGCCACTACTGACTAGTAACTAAATTCCATGCAGCACACTAAAGTGCCTTATGTGCAGTATTTCAGTTTTACTTTTTATGACATCTTTATAAGGTAGGTAACATTACCACCCTTTTAAAGATAAGGAAACTGAAGCTTAGAGATGTTAAGAATCTTGCTCAAAACCAACTAGCTCAATATCAGGTCCCATGTTCTAATGTAATCTTTCTGATGTAGGATCTCAAGCTCTTAAACTCTATACACTGTATGAATCAAGATACAAAATGCATTTTGCCATCATCACAAGGTGGCTGGGAGAATAAAAAAGCATGTATTTTAAATATTCCTTAAAATTATATGAAAATGTTGAGATGTGCATATTAACCCAGAGTGAAAAACCCAAAGCTCTCATAATTCCAAGGTGACTTAACTTAAAACTATGAATCACTGTTTTCTACATCAGCTCTAACAGAATTTCTGCAATGATGGGAGTTGTTCCTTGGCTAACATACCTGATAAGCAACCTAAACTGTTTGTATAAATACAGTTCACACTGAATACCTGCTTTCCAACTAGGAGGCTGGAATTTTGATACCTGCTAGGTGAAGTTGGCTATGTGATCAGTGCAACAGAAACCCTAGCTCTAAGTCTCTAAGGAGATTCCATGGTAGGTAACACTTAACATGTGTCATTACAAGCTGGTGGAGGAATTAAACATGTCCTCACAGAAGCTTGCACCAGGCTTCCTTTGGACTTTGCACCATGCTCTTTTTCCTTATTTTGTTTTGTATCCTTTCAGCCTAAGGTTTGACCCCTTACTATTCTACTTATTACCAGATTCTACCTTTGCTGGAGAAACGGTATCTTTAATTTAATAATTTTAAATTTTTTTTAAATTTAAATAAGCTACATGTGGCTGGTGGACACCACTCTGGTGTCGCAGACCAGGGGTTGGCAAACATGCTTTATAAAGAGTCAGAGGGTGAACAACCTTTGTTTCCTACTCAACTGTTTGAAGGCTGAAGTGCCCAGAAATAATAAACAAAGAACATAGCTACGTTCTAATAAAAGTCTATTTATAGACACAAAAGTATTAATTTCATGTACTTTTTTACATATAATGAAATAAGTCTTCCTTTTTTTCCTCCCAACCACTTAAAAATGTCAAATCAATTCTTAGCTCATTGCATATGAAAGTAAGATTTGGTCCATGAGCTATAGCTTGCTCAACTCAATTCTAAACTGTACATGAACAATTGAAGAATTAAAGTAATTGAGACATTTGAATTAAGAAAAATTTTACGGTTAAAATCTGTTAACTCTGGAATAGGGAATTAGGTTTGCCATCAGACACAATCTGCAGAAACCCTAAGGTGTGACCCCTTACTATTCTACTTACTAACAGATTTTACCTTTGCTGGAAAAATGGTTTCTTTTATGTTGGCTGGTTAGAATGCCTTCATGCATTATCATTTAAAGTTTTTCAAAGGACAAATCCCTTTCAATTACAGCATCAGTTCATCTCGGTTCAAGGATTGCAACAGGTAGCACTGAAGAATTATGTAAGGATAAAAGGTGAGGAGTTAGTTGGCCATCTCTACAATGGACAAGGCTTTCCCATTTAATGCTAAGAGTAACCGTCATGTTAAGGAGATTCTAGTACTAGTTCTTCCACTCAGCACTATGTCTGCATATGTCTCAACTTCTCACGCAATAAAGGAATAACAGATTAGGCATTAAGGTCTCTTTCCAAGTCATGTACTCTATTTTATGTCACATAAAAGGATAATGGTAAAATTGAAAGGGATTTCAAGTTATCTAGTCCTCATCCTGATATCCAGAAAGGGTAAATCATGTGCTCAATGTAACACAGTTTTGGTAAAGCTACAATGAGAACACAAGTCTTCTGACTCCAAGTCAGTGACTTTTTCTATTATACTATGTGATTACTATTTCAGAGTGTTAAATAACCTGTTTCTTTAGGTAAATCAATAATCCTGATAAACGAAAGCTATTCTGTTATTACCAAAACCATATAAATACAAGGATTCCTACAATTCCTTCATCTTTTTCCTCACAATATCAAAATGCTATTGCAAATTCACAGCTCTTTTCAATAAACTTTTATTTGATTAATTATAATAGTACCAATGGCCATTTAATAAAATAGCCAACATTTATATAATTAAATTGAATTAACTGAATTAATTTCCATAACAATTCCATGAGATAGGTAGTAATCATCCCCATTTACAGTTAAGAAAACAGGGACCCAGACAGGAACTTGCCCAAAATCTCACAGCTAGTAGGTGTGGAGCTGAGATTTGAATCCAGATGGTAAAGTGGGCCCCGGAGTCTATGTTCTTATCACTGATTAAAATGTCTCACTTGAAAAGCAGTCATACCTGAACTACTGTAACATGTAATGTGCAATAAACTGACCTTTTTTATATGTGGAGTCTCTTACTTCCTATATGTTTGGGCAGAGAGACACTGGGTTTTGGTCAGTATATAAGGCCACAATTTTAAGCACCTGGAAATAGGATGCCTTCATAGTTGTCATCATCCACCGCCACCCTCTTCCCCCAGTGGTTTTTTTTTTTTCGGTGTTACCACTTGGGCCATGTCTCCAACCCTTTTTGCTCTGATTATTTTGGAAAGGGCCCTCTCACTTTCCCTGGGCCAGCTTAGACTGAAATTCTCCTATTGTAAGCTTCCAATGGTTGCTGGGATGACAAACATATACCACCACACCCAGCTTTCGTTGGGGAGAGGGGTCCTCAGGAACTTTTACTGCCTGAATGGCATGGAACCTTGATCCTCCCAAATAGCTTGAAATGACAGGCACATGCTGTTTCACTCAGCTATTGGTTGAGATAGGGTCTTGCAAACTTTTTGCCCAGGCTGGCCTCAAATTTTGATCCTCCAATCTGTCTCCAGAGTAGCTAGGATTATAGGTGTAAGCCACCAGCTCCCCACTCAGTTGTACTTTTAAGATTAACAAAAGGTAGTCAAAGAAGAAAGGAAGTTACCGTGAAGGAAATGATCCCTAGATCGACAAGTCTAATTTTAAACCAGGATGAATATATTTCACAGACCTCAAAAACATGTAAAAATTGCCATTAGTATCTTTCTACACATTCTTAAACACTTTTTAGAATACCTTTCTTGAAGATACAAATGCTAAAGTACAAAATTTCCTAGTGCATGACAATGAAGTCCTACACTTGATAATTATAAGAACTGTATTAATTTCCTACCATCTGGTACAGCTAAAGCTCTATATATTTCCAATGGTTGATGTTATTATACTACAAAACACCTGAGTTATCTCTTTTAAGAGTCAACTGCTTCTTATTAAATTTTGGGCTGCTGTAATTTCCCAGTAATCCAAATATAAATACAATTAACAAGCTGTTTTTCAGCATGTCTTTATTCATGCTTTTTAGTCTCCTCAATTTGGGATTAATCTGTTTTAATACAAAGAAATTTAGCCTTCTATAGTTAACATACCACATGTCCTAGTATTAATAATCATTAATATCCTGCCTGTAAATATACCACTGCCCTTTCAGTGTACTTTGGCATAATGATGTTACAACTATTTAGGAATGCTAACACATACAAAGGCACAAACTTACCCAGAAATAAGTATGAACACAATAGCATCTCTGCAACCATTAGTCTAATATTACAACGATCTCAAACCCTATCTATCAGTATTTGGGGGGTAGGAAGGAGATCTTCCTATATAGCACCCGCTGACCTTGACCTCTTATATATCCCAGACTAGCCTCGAACTTGAGATCTTCCTGCCTCTGCCTCCCAAGTGCTGGGATTACAGACATTCGATGCTTTAAAACTTTTCAGGGCTGGCAGAGTGGCTCAAGTGGCAGAGTGCCTGCCTAGCAAGCATGAGGCTCTGAGTTCAAACCCCAGTACGGCAAAAAATAAATAACAAATCAAATAAATGTGTCCTTTAAAAAATCTTTCATTGCCAGCCCATCTTCTCCATTCCAAATGGCAATGTACTCAACTACATCTCAGTAACTATTTGACTGAGTTATTACCAAAAGCTTTTAACAGATTTCACCAAGCATCTTTCTAACCAATCCTGCACCATTACCTAATCTTCCTTTAAAAACTTACATTATGATCTCCTTTACCCAAGAACCAAAATTATATAATCAATCAAACCTTTTAACTCACAATTTTATTTTCTATCCCCAGCAAAAGATTTTTGCTCCATCAGTTCAGCCTCAAGGCTCTAGCAGAGATCACGGTTATTGTAGACTCTCTGCCTTTGCTCAAGTACAACTAATTTATTTCTAGTTAAAACTTACTGCAGTTATGCACATAATTTTCATGTGTTTCACATAATTACTTTGTCTCAACTACAGCATGACAAAGTCTACCTCATAAAACTTATCTCCCAGGCAATGTCTTATACATTTTAAACATACATACTGGACCGATTTATGAAAACTGACATCCACCTTAAGTTGTTTCTCCCCCTTTTTAAAACTCCACCCTGCCTTTTTGTTAGAATTACCTTATAATAATTGTAAATGCCTGCAGCTTCCAGGTGAATTAACACAGGATCTTGTTTAAAGTAAAATTACATTTTGTGTATGATTTTAGTATTCTCTGTATTTAAAATAAATTTTGACATATAAGGTCAGAAATCAAGAGCTAGTAGTGTAGTATGGTAACGCTTCACAATAATAAAGTGGTAACTAATCAATTTTTATTACAGTTAAAAGTGAAGTAAAAATTATGAGCTTGTGATTCATACAAACCTGGCTTCAAGTTCAGACACAGTAACTCACCAGCTACCAGCTACGTAACACGAACTAACTCGTTATTTGTTTAACATCTCTAAACCTCAATTCCTTCAGCACTAAAGCAAGGGTAATAGTTACCAACCTGTTTTGTTTTTTTATAAGATCCATTTACATACTCAGTAAATGTTACAAAATTGTGTCATGGTTCAAAAAAAAATCTGGGAATAATTATTTTAAAATGTGCACAACTCTTTCATTTCCTCAGCCTCAAATAGCAACAACCACACTTTGCCAAAGGGGTGTCAGTTCATTCCATATGGAATTATAATGTCAAATGCCAAAATTTCAGGTATAAAGTTTTGATCAAATTATGTTAATTAGAAAACTGAACTTACATCTGAACCAGAAGCTTTCTTCATTGCACTCTGCAAAGACTCTTCTTTCTTCCTCTGTTGGAATGTAATCAGCCCCGATGTCTTTTTACCAAGGAAAATTGGAAAATAATAAAATAGCCATTTAAAAATGAAGCCTAAAAAACTAAGTTAATCTAAATATTAACAAAAGACACCAGAACATTAAAAAATAAATAAAAATTAACTTGTGAACTTTTAAGAAACTTTGACTTCAAACAGAATTTTATGCTATCACCTTGCAGTCAGAACGGGCTACATTTTAAATGTGCTGGACCCAGTGCTAAATGAAAATATGGAACCCCCTTGTTCAAATCATTCAGAATACCAAAATGACAACTACAGAGCATTAAAGCATGCATGAAGCCCTATGTGATCATAGGGGACACGCCCATGAAGTTAGCCCATGAGTAACTACTACTACTCAGGCTATCAAATATGCTTTAAATAGAAAGTGCTTCTAACTATAAATACTTAATAGGATAGTTACGAGGAATCGGTCTTGGAACTTCTGCATTCGGCTCTCGAAAATCAGCCCTCCCATTCATCTTTCCCTGTATCAAAAACATTTGTATTATGTATTAGAAATTATCACAGTAAGTTAAAGTAAATACATATAATGCATGACAGTGAAATACTGGCCTAAGTGGCAATCAATCAACAAATATTTCTAAACACTACATCTTAACTACATGCTATAATAAAAACAGCTAAATGAAAATTTCATAAATCTATTAATTAATTTGGACTGATTATTCATGTTTGGTCCTTGAGTTGAAAAATAAGTGACTTGTAAGCATTCATCAAGTGGTTAATATAAAGTTAAAATATAAAAAGATATCAACAAAAGGACAGACATTTTTCCTCCTGAAGCTGATTTACTTCATACTGTCCTATGTTTTGGTCCTTTTAGAAATCTATACTCAATGATTACACTAATTCCCAAACAGAAAAAAATCCCAAGCTATAGAAATTAATAATCAGGAAACACCCAACCTCTCCCACAAAGCACTATTTTAAAACGGAGGGTGGGGAATAACAAAGACATCCTATCCTTTCCCAGTGGTGTAAAGCTAACAGCAAAACTACGTATCTTCCAAACTTTCTTACCTGGGCACAAATAATCTTCAAGTAACAGACGAATACATGAGATTAAAAAAAAGAAAGAAATGCAACAGCATTCCAAGAACACACACTTTTTATTTATTTATTTAAAACCCATACCTTGGGATTTAAGAGACCAACAGATCAAATAACTGTATTTTACAGATAAGACAGAGGATAATGATTATTCTAATTTTTAAAACTGCATGGTAACGCGAAATGGTGCACGCAATGGCGACAGCAATAGGACCCTCCGTAATTCAACTCCGAGGGCCTCCTCTACAGCGATCCCTTAATCAGGGAAAGGAGCAAAAGCAAGCTCAAGTCTAGGATGGACGAAGCCTCCTGCACAAGCTACCTGCGTATCAGAAAAACGAAGCCTCATTTTGCACAGCGGCGTCCTGTCAAGAGGCTGACAAGGCTGACGAGGCCCCTCCCGACCATTCTAAGCTCGCAATTCTGGAGCAGCTGAGCCGACCCCCTGCGGGTCGATGACCGCCATTCCCGACCACCATCCCCGTCCCCACCTGCAGCTGCGGAAGTGCAGCACTCCTCCGTCACCACCAACCTCCTCCCGCACTGCCCCAGCCCCACCCCCCACCTCCCGCAGTCACCTGCACTTAGTAGCCAAAACCCAGCGCGCGTTTGGTGCACCCTCACAGCCAGGAAAATGGCGTAGGGTGCAAAACAGTGGCCCGCCGCGCGCGAAGGTGCGGGGAGGGGGGGGAAATGGGGCTCTTGGCGCCACCTCACCCACCTCCCGACGTCAGCGGCACGAGACCAGGAGGCGAGCCCAAGCGACCAAGGGCCCAAAAGGGCTCTAGAAGGGGCAGGGGGGGAGAAAAGCGCGCGAGACCGCAGCGGGAAGGGGAGGGGGGCCGCACTGCGACGCGACCGCCAAGAAAAGTCACCCAGATACGGAGCAAAGTGACTGCGACCCGGAAGCAGTCTGCCTATTGCAGGAAGTGACGTTAAGTCCTTCTGAGGAGTAGAACGCAAAGCAGCCTCGCTATACGCACTAGTGTCCATGGACCCCGCCCCTTTCAGCGGCTTCCTCCGCCCTTCGCACCCAGGCCGTGGCGCTCTCGAGCTGTACTGCGGCTGCGCCTGGGGCGGAGACCCGCCCCCTCCCTGGAAAGCAAGGGAGGCGTTGTGCGCTTGTGACGCAGTCAGTGATCTTCCTGTGAGCCCCCTGGCCGCATCTTGTGGAAACCCCGGTTATCCCGGGTTGAGAGTTGCCGAGTTTGCTTGGATTTCCCTGCTTTTAAGTTTGCATAATTCATATCACCCTTTATGCTTCTAGGATAGGAGCATAAAGTAAATTTTAAGCGTGTGCCCTTGGTTATCTGTCAGACCCTCGACCCTATTTGCCCGGTCTGGCTTTCTCACCTGTTCTGGAACGCAGGCAGGTGCATGCCCTCTCTGACCCTGACTTTACTCGTCCAAACAATGGAAATAATGCCTACTTCATAGGGTTATTAGGATTAAACTTCTGAAAAAGGGTGTAAGCACTCAATCTCTAGGAGAGTACATTTGAATGCGGGCTTCATGATTTTCATTCAAACATCATGCCACACCCAGCCATTTTCTTTCATTGATTTCACAAATGTTTATTGAGTGCCTACTCAGAACCAAGTACTTGAAGTTTATTTTTATTTTGGTGGAACTGGGGTTTGAAGTCAAGAAATCCTTGCAAAGCATGTGCTCTGCGGCTTGATCCACACCTCCAGTCCATTTTGCCCCAATTATTTTGGAGATGAGTTCTCACAGACTCTTTGCCCAATGTTGGCCTTGAACCGCGATCCTCCCAATCTCAGCTTCCCAAATAGCTAGGATTATAGAAGTGAGCTGTTGGCAATAATGGTGCCAATAGGTTTCAGTTCTTACTGCACCCTTAACCTTCTGTTTCCCAGGGTCATGGTCCTGCCTCAAGTCTAGCTTGAATTCTCCTTCTGCCCCAACCTCCAATCAGCATGACCCATAAGATCCTAAGCAATCAGATCATGCCGAGTCTCACTGAGGGGTATTTAAGCCCCTGCTCCTCTCTCTCTCTCTCTCTCTACCTTCGCTCTCTCTCTCTCTCACTCTCTCTCTCTCTCTCTCCTCTCTCTCTCTCTCTCTCTCTCTCTCTCTCTCGCTCTCTCGCTCTCTCGCTCTCTCCCTCTCTCGCTCTCTCCCTCTCCTACCAGGCAAAAAAGAATCTCTTGGCCAGATCACTCCTCTCCACATGGTCACTTTGGGGCCTATATTTGGTGCCTTGACTCGGAGCAGGTTTCCCCACTAATCCTGGTGGGACCTCGATTCCGACTCAACCCACGACCACCGTGAGGATGTGACTGGCCAGGACTCATCCTCCTGATCGCCCTCACTTGCATTCAACACCAGACTTTCTTTGGTGAGTCCACGTACCCTTCTTGTGGTCCCTTTGCAGTCTCTCCCTTCGTTGTCTCTGGGGTGTCAGCGTTTTCCCTGTGTCTCTGGGGCTCAGATGGTAGAGGGGTTCCCTTCCCTCTCATCCGGCTTGGGTCTGTTTTGTCTTGGGTCTCAGAGACCCCCCCATCCAAAAAGCCTGGTGCCAGGTGACCCATAGCCCCAGGCCCTTTGGCCTTGCACACCACTAGACTCAGTGACAACTGATTCTTGTGTGCCTTGTGCTGTTCTCAGATATTTGAGTCTCGTAGGGACCCCCCACGGTTCATAATATCCTCCCATTATAGCCCTCCGGGACCAGGTCCCACAATGGGGGCCACTACGTCCTCTTTGCCATCTGACTCCCCACTAAAATGCCTTCTCAATAATTTAGACACCTTAGGTTTGACCCCAGACATAAAACTAAAAAATTTAATCTGCTTTTGCACCCAAATCTGGCCCACTTATCCTTTAGACAACCAAGTCACTGGCCCCTTTTTGGGTTTTTAGATCCCAACCTTTTACGGGACATATAACTACTGTGAGTGATCGGGACAATGGGGAGAGATTTCATTATGTCCAAGCTTTTTCATACTTCCATCTAAATCCGGCTCTCTGCACCACTTGCAAACCTAAACATGTACTTCTTGCTCTAAAGCCCTCAACCTCAACCTCTGCCCTCTCTTTGGATTTCGACCCAGCCGGTGAGCCCCCTCCATACCGCTGACAGTCTCCACCCAATCCTCTTCCGCGACCTACTCCGCCATCTTTAGCAGCCCCTCCACTTTCTTCTTCTTCATCCCCTTCGTCGCCGTCACTCCCTACCCCCACTGCACCCTCCACTCCTTCTCCTCCCTCCCCCTCCTTCAGCCCCCCCTTGTCGGAGACAGGGCTCCCTTTGTGAGCCATTCTGTCTAGACCTTGCCCTGGAACATTTTGCGGTTGTTTGTCCCAACTTCTCCACCTCCAGCACAAGATGGCGCCGTCCCTGCTTCTCTTCCGGGAGTTTACCTTGCCCCGGCGTGAACGTGCACCCTACCAGAAGTCCTATAGCAGAACCAGCCAACCAGCCTGCACCTCGTCGTACCCCTCACTCCCTCAGCACATAAATACCCCTGTGTGAACAATAAAATTTTGCAGCTTGATCAGAACTCTTGTCTTGCTATCTCCTTCGTGTCTCTTGTCCCTTCATTCTTCCCCTTCTAGGTTCGCTACCCACGCTGATGTGTCCCGCAGGACGGGACACCCCCTGCTACTAGATCATGCACACTCACTGCCTAGCCTCCCCCCCTTCCCTCCTGGCACCCCTTCAGGAGGTAGCTGGATCAGAGGGAATTGTCAGGGTTCATGTCCCCTTCTCCATGCTCAATCTCTCCCAAATCAAAGCCCACCTGGGTTCCTATAGAACTAACCCCTCAGCCTATGTCAAACAATTTCAGTATTTACTCCAGTCTTACAGCCTAACCTACCATGATATATATATCATTCTCTCTAACACCCTCCTACCCAAGGAACGTAAAAGGGTTTGGGAACAGGCTCGCACGTGTGCAGATGAGGTCCATCAGACAACTCCCACTCACCCTACAGGTGCCCTGGCCATTATCCCAATTGGGACTACAACACCCAGGCCGGACTTACCCTCCGGGACCAATTTACCACCTGCCTCCTGGCAGGACTAAAACAGGCATCACAAAAGGCCATCAATTTTGAAAAACTCCAGGAAATCATCCAGGACAGAACAGAAAACCCCTCTACCTTCTTAGACAGGTTAACCAGGGCTCTCCAACAATACACCAACATTGACCCTGAATCCACAGATGGTAGACAACTCCTTATGACTTATTTTTTCTCCCAAAGTTACCCCAACATTAGGGCAAAATTTAAAAAACTCGATAGAGGACCCCTCACTCCTCAGACCAACGTGCTGGCAACTGCCTTCAAAGTGTTCCACTCCTGGGATGAAAAGGTGAAATGCCAAAAATACCAGATGTTGGCTCAGGCTATGAGAGGCCCAAACCCTCAAACTAAACGAGGGAATCAACGCCCAACAAACAGGAGCCCATCAGGCCCCTGTTTCAAATGCGGACAAGAGGGACACTGGGCCAATGTCTGCCCTAATCCAAGGCTGACGCCCCAGCCTTGTCCTAGATGCCATACCCCTGGACATTGGGCAAGTGATTGCCCCAGCTCCCGACGGGGGACCGGATCAACCTCTCGCTCCAGTCCCGACCTCATAGGGCTGGCAACAGACGATTGAAGGGGCCTTGGGACTTCCCTCCCGGCGACTACCATCCGTTTCTGGAGCCCAAGGTAAGCTTTTTGGTTGATGGGCGCCCCATCTGCCTCCTCCTGGACACCGGTGCCACTTTCTCAGTTCTGACAGAGTTTTGGGGGCCACCAGCCCATCACAAACCCCTATTAGCAGCGTAGGGGGACAAACCATTTTTCCCAGAAAGACTCCCACGCTTTTCTGCTCCTTTTCGGGTCATCCTTTTGCCCACCAGTTTCTGGTCATGCCCCAATGTCCTACCCCTTTGCTGGGGAGAGATATTTTAACCAAATTTCAGGCCTCCATCTCATTTAACCTCAGGCCTATCCCCCTTCTTGTCCTTATGACTACGGATGGTCACTCTGATTCCACCGGTCAAATCCTCCCTTCAGGGGTGGACCGTAAAGTATGGGACATTGACACTCCTTCTCTAGCAACTTGTCCTCCCATTAAGATCCTCTTACAGGACCCTCATCACTTTCTGTGCCAGCCTCAGTACTCCCTCCCTACTTCCAGTCTGCTGGGGTTACAACCAGTCATTACTGTTTTACTCCACAAGGGCCTTCTCAGGCCTACTCATTCCCCATACAACTCTCCCATCCTAGCTGTAAAAAAGCCAAATGGCACCTACCACCTGTCCAAGATCTTAGACTCATTAATAATGCTGTTAAACCTATACATCCCCTCGTCCCTAACCCTGACACCATTCTCTCTTCTATTCCTGCCTCCTCCACTCACTTTTCTGTCCTTGATCTCAAGGATGCCTTTTTTACCATCTCCCTCTCCCCCGAGTCACAGGACATTTTTGCCTTTACCTGGATGGACACACACACATCACTCACAACAACTCACCTGGACAGTCCTCCCTCAGGGTTTTAGGGATAGCCCACATCTGTTTGAACAGGCACTTGCCAAAGATCTCAGGGACCTCTGCCTCTCTAAGTCTACCCTCCTCCAATATGTAGATGATCTACTCTTGTGTAGCCCCTCTCCGGACATCTCTCAAACTGACACCACTTTACTCTTAAACTTTCTGGCTGACAAAGGATACCAAGCTTCCCTCCGTAAGGCCCAACTTTCTCAGGTGACAGTCACATACCTGGGAGTTCAGTTATCCCATGACTCCAAGGCAATTATTCTGGACAGAAAATAGCTCATCCGGGAAATACCGGCTCCCAAGACAAAGGAGGAAATACTTTCCTTTTTGGGGCTGGCCAGATACTTCCGCATCTGGATTCCTAACTACTCCC